CGGCTACGGGCCCGGGGCCTGACGGTGGACAGCATCCTGCAGATGGACGACAGCACGCTGGGCGCGCTTATCTATCCTGTGGGCTTCTGGAGGGTGAGCCAGCCTGTGGCCAGCAGGCCTGGGGGCGCCACTGGCTTGCAAAAGGTGTCAAGGAGGCTGAGCAGCTGTGGGGGGTCGCCGAGGCAGGCATCCCTGGCTGTGAGTTTCCCCTGGAGCCCCAGCCTGCCCTTGTCTCTCTGACCAACCCACAGGGGGCTGGGCGGTGGGGCCTCAGTCTAGACCCCAGAGCTCCTTGGCCTTTCCTGTTTGCAGCCCACCCCTTCCTTCCTCCCCCTCCCTGCCCAGCTGCCTGGCCCTTCCCTTCCTCGCTAAGGCTGCCCACCCACTTAGCCCTTGGTTGACTCGGAGCCTCCCTGGAGTGCACGGCCCCTCCCCTCGGGAGCAGCAGCAGGCCACCGGAGTACAGGGTGGCGGGTGGGCGGGGCTGTTTCCCCTTGGCACTGGCTTGGGCTGCAGTTTGTCAGATGGGTTTTAAATAGCCCTATCCACTCAGGCCCAGGATGGGAACTGCCCTGCTGGCCTGGCAGCAGGCAGGGGAGCCCCAGTCTCCAGCCTTCCTTCCTGAAGGCCCAGGTGCTGTTGAGCCCAGCTGCTGACATGGCTGGCTCTTCTTACCCTGCCCGGTCTCCCGTGGGGAGTGATGGTGCAGGGGGACTCAAACCAGACTCCACACACTTGTCCTGGGGCCCAGGCAGGTGGGAGGTAGGCAGGCCTGCACTGGGCCTCCCTTGGCCTTCCTGCTGCCCTTGGCAAGCAGGTGCCTCTGAGTGTGTCCTGGACGGTGATGGGTAGCTCTGGGCCCCTGGGGGTCTTCTCTGCGCCTCGTCCTCCCCTGTCAGGTGATTCCCCTGACCTCCAGGGCTCACCCCCACAATCTTTCAGAGCAAGGTGAAGTACATCAAGCAGACCAGTGAGATTCTGCAGCAGCGTTACGGTGGGGACATCCCAGCCTCCGTGGCAGAGCTGGTGGCGCTGCCCGGCGTCGGGCCCAAGATGGCGCACTTGGCCATGGCGGTGGCCTGGGGCACTGTGTCAGGCATTGGTGAGTGGAGCACATGCGAGGGGGGAGTGGCCAGCTCCAGGCTTGCTGGCTGCTGTCAAGGTTCCCCACGTCCCCAGCTCAGGTCTTCTGGTTCACAACTCAGCCCAAAGGATCAGGAGCGAGGCCGCCCCACCCAGAGACAGGTACTGACAGGAGGAGCTCCCGTTTGCTGAGCACCTACGGTTGTGCTGAGCCCCGGGAGAGGCCTGCGGCCGACTCGGGACTGTGCCGCCTGAGCGAGAGAGACATCAGACAGCTCCCCACTCGAGAGTAGAAATGCTGACGGGGCGTGCAGGACACCTCGGGAGCCAGCCTGGTCTGGGGCGTCTGGAGGACTTCCTGAGGAGGTGATAAATCATCCAAGAGCTGAGTGGCGAGGTGGGCTGGCCAGGCCAAGAGGAGGAAATGCACTCCAGGCAGAAGGAACAGCATCTGCCCAGCCGCGGTGCAGGGGAGAGGCCAGAGCACAAGACTCTGGGATGAGCGTGGACAGACGGGAGATGGGACCCCAGGTGGGTGGGGGCGGTCAGTCCCCGGACTCCTCTCCTGGGTCCTTGTGGCGCATCCTGGCCCTGGAGGAGCTCTGAGTGGAGACAGACCCCGGTGTTGGGGTGGGCCAGCCTTCTCAGATCTTGGCCCCCTCAAATCTTTGCCCAGCGGGTTGGGGCTTCCGAGGCCTCACGGCACAGGCCCAGTCGGCCTGGTAACCAGGCCTTGACCCATGACCCGTTGTGTGCCCCAACCCTGGCGCTTCTCAGGGTCTTGTGCAGAGGAGCCAGGAGAGGCGGTCGGGAATGCCCCAGGGCTCCCATAGCTGGTGCAGCCTGCCCCTGGGCTGGGGACCCCTTCCGTCTACTGCCTATGGGAGGAGGAGGGCCCCGCCCCCGTTGCCGCAGGAGCTCAGAAGCCCTGATGTTCAGGAGCCCAGCCAGGGCAGAGCCCCCACCCCCACTGGGCTCCCACAGCTACCAGCCGCTCAGCAGACACTCGAGCTTCTCCTGGCGGCTGTCCTCGGCTGCCCGTGTCCAGGAGCGGGCGGGCGGGTCTGTGGGGGAGGGCCCGCCCTCAGCTGGGCCAGCGGAGTGTGAGAACTGTGCGCTTCGCGGTTGTCCGTGGACCCAGCCAGCTGCAGGGCGACCCTGGCGGGGGTGGGGCACATCCCCCTCCAGTAGCTGGGCACCCTCCCAGCCAGGTGACCCTGGGCAAGGCACTTGGCCTCTCTGAACTGGGCCACAAAGCAGGGGAAGCATTTGCTCCCGTTAGCAGCCCAGAGGTGCATAGCCCTCTTGGACCGGCCCCCCGGGGGGGCTCACAGCGCGGTGCAGCCCTGGGTGACTTACGGGAGCGCTCACCTCCATGTTACAGAGAAAGAAGCCGAGCCTTGGTGACCCCAGGGTGTGACTTCTCCATTCGCCTGCTCTCCCTGAGCCCCCAGGATGCCCGTCACAGCTGTTGGGGGAAGGCTGAGCCTTTTTCCAAGCAATTAGCAGCAGAGAAGTGAGCTGCAGCAGGAACTCGCTTTCTCGCTTTCTCTTGGACAGACACGACACAGGGAGGAGATAGGAACTGCATCTGTTGAGGGGAGGGGGCCCCACCGAGCAGGTGCCCCAGCCAAGCCCCCCGCGTGGCCGGTCAGGGGAGCAGGGGCTGCGGCCAGGTGGACGACAGCTGCAGCTGTCCTGGCGGCGCTCACCGCTCCATCCCTGATGGTATAGTGGCAGGTGCTGTCTCTGCGGGCCGAGCTGCTGCCATCCAGCCTGGCACTCACAGCCAGTGCCAGGAGGCACTGCTGCCTGCACCCTGTTTTGAAGGCCAAGACCTCTGGGTCTGGCTCCAGCCCCTGCCCAGGCACAGTCCCAGGCAACCTTTGCAGTTCTGGGCCCTCCTCAGAAGCTGGGGGGGTGGGGGAGGGAAGGAGCCATGGGGACCCCCCCCACCCACATTGGGAGCCACGGGTAGGGGTGGGCAGTCTGGCCCAGTGAGGCTGCCGAGTGTTCACCCTGCGCCGTTTCCAAGCAGCAGTGGACACACACGTGCACAGAATTGCCAACCGACTCAGGTGGACCAAGAAGGCAACCAGGTCCCCAGAGGACACCCGCAGGGCCCTGGAGGAGTGGCTGCCCAGGTGTGCCCACCCCCAGGGTGGGGCGGGGCGGGCCCCCTCAGATGGGCTGCCTCCCTCCACACTCCACACTGATGACCCCCACCCCCACAGGGAACTGTGGCGCGAAATCAACGGCCTGCTGGTGGGCTTCGGCCAGCAGACTTGCCTGCCTGTCCACCCACGCTGCCAGGCCTGCCTCAACCGGGCCCTGTGCCCAGCTGCACGGGGACTCTGAGGGCCTGGGGCCTCTGCCCGGCGCCACTCTGGCCACTGTCTGTCTGTGCCTTTGCTGGGGAGCCGTTGCCTGTTTATAATAAAGCTTGGGGGTTGTTTGTAGTTAGGGTCTGGCTGAGTTGTACCGGGACAGGGGTGGGGGGCAGGCTGGAAAGCACACATGTGAGCTGTGTGCACACCCATGCTCACATGTGTCTGGAACAGGGCGGCCTGGAAGCCTGGGATGGAGACGTGACGATCTGGGCTGCGGGCGGGGGCGGGGGTCATGGGAGCCAGCTGCAGCCAGCTGTCTGGAAGCCTGCAGGGAACGCCGGCTGCTTCCCTCAGCAGCTGGCTGGGGACCTGGGAACACGCCCTCCTGAACTTGTGCCCCGAGAGCCTGGCCCCCACCTTGAGGCCCCCCCCCCCAGTATTTACACAGCCACCTGGCCTCACTGGATGCCAGCAGGCCCAGGAGGGCCAACACAGGGCAGAGGCCTGACCTGCGTGCTCCTACAGGGGGCCAGGGCCCAGTCTGGGGACAGGAGGGCAGAGCTCCGAGGCACAGGGGTCCCCAGTGCGCTGGGACGGGAGTGGGGAGTGGAGGCTTAGGAAGGGGGCTGTGTGCCTCAGCTGGGTCTTGGGGCGCCACAGGCTGCCGCCTCCTTGCCCAGACCATGGCACCCCCAGCCCCCGACACGCAGGCTCAGGAAGGACAGCCAGCCAGGGTCCAAGGAAGGCCTGTTTATTCAGAGGGCGCGCATGCGCTATGGCTTGTAGGGCAGACAGCAATGTCGGTCGGTGGGTCGGGATCTGGGCAGAGGGAAAGGCAGATCGGGGTTTCTCCCGGGAGGCTCCCGGCAGGGGCCAAGCCCGGGAGCCTGGGATCCTTCCTGGGGGCTGCCTTGCAGTGACGAGGGGCCTGTCCAGAGGTGCCCTCCTCAGGGGCACGGGGCCTCCGTCCTCAGACTGCCCACCCCAGGAAGGGGCAGAGGGCAGCTCCCACAGCCCCTGCCCTGAAGCCTGCGAGCCCCCAGCCCAGTCCCTGGGACTCCCACTTGGGATGGCTGCTGCTGAGGGGGTTGGGGGGAAATGGTGTGCAGAGAAAGGTTTGTTTTATTGCAAGTATTTAGAGAGCACGTCCTGAGGGGGTGGGGGCGGGGCTCTGCTATTAAGTGGAAACATATGTGGAGCTAGAGCTCTTTCTGGAAAAAAAAAAAAAAGGCAAAAACACAAATTCCTGTAAGTCAGCAGGCCCAGGCAGTCAGCACGGCGGCCAGCCCGCGGGTCACCACCACCCCTCCCCTCCTTCTTCCCCTGCCCCTCACTGTCTCTCTGGGTCTCTCACATCTCAGGGACTCCCTCTGCCCATCCTGCGGCCACACTCCCCTAGCACCCCGCGGGTGGGGGGCAGGATGGGCTCCCGGGGGCACGTGCTGGTTCCCGGGTGGTGGTGGGACCACCCCAGCTTAGGGGGAAGGATGCCCCCTCCAGTCCACCGGGGCATGGGGCGCTCTGGGCAGTCCGAAGGGCGAGGCCCAGGCCCGTGGGGAGGAGCCGGCGGGGAGCAGGCAGTGGGGCTCAGAAGTTGCTGAAGATCTCGCGCTTCCGGTTCCAGTCCATCTGTGGTGCGCGCTTGTTGACCCTGGTGGCTCTCGCCTTCTCCTTGGCCTCGGCTGCCGTGGGGCTCAGGTGAAGGCCGCTCTCCTGAAAAGGGTCTCGCTTCCATGTGCTGCCGTCCTAGGGGCGGACACGGCGGGTGGGTGGCCAGTGAGCCCTGGACCCCAGCCCCCATGCAGGTGGCCCTTCCCAGGGAGCTCACGCCAGAGGTCACCTGGCGGCAGGCCCAGGAGGGCTTCCTAGAGGCGGTGGCCTCACGGCCCAGGCTGACAGCGCCACAGATGCCCGCCCCCAAGGCCTCAGGCCCCCCAGCATGTGAGCAGCAGCACTGGAGGTGGAGGGGCACCCACTACCTCAGTGTCCTTGTCTAAGCCGGGCAGGTCGCTTCGGGACGAGCACACGGAGCCACCATTGAGCTGGGAAACCAAGGGTGAGGTGTGGCTTCAGGGGCCCGCCCAGGAGACTGTGCACACCCAGGTGCACACGTGGACACGCGTGCACACACGTGTGCACACACCAGAGCTGCATTTACTCTTGCATCTGGCAATTGGCACTGACCCTCTACTGCAACCTGGAGGTGCCCAAGTGCCCTGCGGGGTCGGGTGTAGCTGGGCCCAGACAGGGCCCAAGGGGCCTTAAAGCTGGGAGTGACAGGGCCGGGCTGTCTCACGGCCACGCAACACCAGGACCGAGGTCTCAGGAGGGGCTCTGTCAGGCCCGGGGATGCCCAGGGGTGCCCCTGTGGTCCCCCGAGCCCACCCTGTCCACTCCCACCATCTCACCTGGGCTGAGCTGGTCCCGTTGGTGACCGGCGATGGCAGTGGGCCTGTGGGGATAGTGTGTAACTGACCACTCGGCCCCCAGTGCTTCACCCCAGCCCTGGGCCCCAGGGCAGCCGCCCACCTTCCACATGCTCCTCGGTGGGTGTGACCCTCAGCCGCTTGAAGTGTTCATCCGTCTCGGGGTCCACCACCAGCAGCTGGGCCTCGTCCTCCCGTGCCTTGATGCTGGCGACCACCTCTGCATGGCGCAGCCCCTCCACATTCTGCCCGTTCACCTGCCGCCAGCACAGGGTCAGTGCTGCCTGCGGGCAGGTCCCCACCAGCCCCCCAAGCCACCCGGCCAGGTGTGGTATCAAATATTCATCAGCGCCGTCACCAGCCGCAGCAGCAAGAGGAGCACCAGCTCAGGTTCCTGGAATCTCCCTCCTGCAGAGGACCTGGGGCCCAGACACACAGACGTGGATAGATACACACGGACACACCCACAGGCACACAGTGCAGACACACACACACAGATAGATACACATGGACACACAACACACAGGCACACACACACAGACACGGACACACCCACAGGCACGTAGTGCAGACACACACACACAGATATACATGGACACACAGGCCCACAGGCACACACACACAGATAGACTTGGACACACCCACAGGCATGCAGTGCAGACACACACACACACAGATAAATACACATGGACACACAGGCCCGCAGGCACACACACAGATAGACATGGACACACCCACAGGCACGCAGTACAGACACAAACACACACAGATACACATGGACACACAGGCCCGCAGGCACACACACACAGACACGGACACACCCACAGGCACGCGGTGCAGACACACACACACTCAGATAGATACACATGGACACACAGGCCCGCAGGCACACACACAGATAGACACAGACACACCCACAGGCAGGCAGTGCAGACACACACACACATAGATATACATGGACACACAGGCCCGCAGGCACACACACACAGACATGGACACACCCACAGGCACGCAGTGCAGACACACACACACATAGATATACATGGACACACAGGCCCACAGGCACACACACACAGACACGGACACACCCACAGGCACGCGGTGCAGACACACACACACACACACACACACAGAGATGTACATGGACACACAGGCCTGCAGGCACACACACACAGATAGACACGGACACACCCACAGGCACGTGGTGCAGACACACACACACATAGATATACATGGACACACAGGCCCGCAGGCACACACACACAGACAGACACGGACATACCCACAGGCACGCAGTGCAGACACACACACACATAGATATACATGGACACACAGGCCGCAGGCACACACACACGATAGACACGGACACACCCATAGGCACGCAGTGCAGACACACACACACTCAGATAGATACACATGGACACACAACATGCAGGCACAGACATGTGGGACGTGGGCCCAGACACACATACACGTGGACACGGACACACAGGCACGTAGGCACGCACACACACACACGGAAGGACCCAGGCACAGACACAGGCACACACAGGACGCAGGTGCAGCTATGTACACGCGGGGCAGCCCGCTCCCCCCCGCCCCAGCGGCTGGTACCTCTATGAGTCGGTCCTGGGCACGGAGGCCAGAGTGGGCGGCGGGGGAGCCGGGGTCCACCGAGCGGATGTACTGTCCGGGCCGGGACTTGTCACTGTGCAGGTTAAACCCATAGCCCTGGGGGCCCTTCCGCAGGTGGCAGAGCCTTGGGCGCAGCTCCCTCAGGGGCCCGTTGGCATCCTGCAGGCATCAGGGGCAGCACTGAGGCTCCAGCTCTGACCTCCTCCCACCTGAGAGATGCTGACCCCCGAGGCCTCCAGCCCATACCCACCGCCGGCTGCCAAGGCAGCACTTGGCCTCATACCCCCACCTGCCCGCAGCCCCGCATCTCAGAGACCCATCCTGGGGCATGGGGAGGCTTAGGCCACCTGTGATGATCCAACTTTGGGACCTTGGACAAAGTCTTAGTTTCCAAACCCCCAATGGACCTGTGATGGGATCAAAGGCCTTACAGCAGGGTTGGGAGAATCCACTGGGTCAAGGCTAGGGCCGGGCACAGACCCGAGACGAGGAGGGACCAGGCGAGGTGAGCTGCCCCACGTCTCCGTTCCAGGAGGGTGGCCCCGTTGAGTGTGGGGCTGCTGGGGTAGGGCTCCAGCTTTGTTGACACTCCCACAGGTCTCCCTGGGGCTGGTGGCAGTGGCTGCGGCTGTGTTTGCCTTCACATTCCAGAGCAGCTGGAGCGGCCCCCACCCCCACAGGCTGGAGCCCAGTGAGCGAGCAGAGGAGCCTGCCTCCCACCTGCCCCTCTGGCCCCAGGGCCTCCTGGTGCCCTGAGGGTGCCCACTCACACCCCAGGGCCCTGCCTCCATTTACCTCTGGCATCCTGTAGTCGGGCTCTGGGCCAGGGGATACAGGGGGGCCGTGCAGGCAGGGGCCAGACCCCAGGACCCCCACCCTGCCAGGGCCTGAGGCAGTGACCAGCGCTAAGTGGCCAGTGGCTGCGGCATTCGGTCTAACATGGCGGTGGCCGAAGGGAGCAGGCGACCAGCAGCTCAGGTTTCCCCAGCGCTTGGGGCTCAAGTGTGCGTGCAGGTGAGACTCTGCGGGGCGGGGGTGCTCACCGGGGCCTGGCCTTCCACCTCCCTGTGTATGGCCAGGGACACTGGGCCAGGCGGGGGGCCACACTTGGGAAGGCCAGCCTCCAGGCCTCCAAGCTCACCCCAAACCCCCCAAATCTGACTGTGGCCACCCTACTGTGGGACCAAGACTGCCCTTCCTTACAGGGTGGTACCTCGCCCCAGCGTCTGGGCCCTCCTACCGGTGGGGAACACCTTCCGGTCCAGCCTGGGCCCCTCCTCCAGGCACCCGTCCCTGATCCCCAAAGCGTGCCCCCCAGGAAACCCTGCTGCAGGCCACCATCTGCCCCAGAAATTCCAGGGGCTGGGGCTGCCCCTGCTCCTTAGTCCTCCAAGGGGATCAGCCGGGCAAACACCCGGGTTCTCCGGGACCCCACAGACTGGTCCCTCTCCAAACACAGCTGCAAGCACAGGTGTGTGGCTCTGAGGTGACTCTCAGGCTCGCGCTGTCAGACCACAGGCTCCGAGGCTGGCCAGGGCCACACAGGACCCTGGACGTGTGACGTGACCACACGAGGTAGGTGGACGCGGGCCCAGATGGCAGAGGTGCCTCACACGGTCATAGAGACCAGACATCCAAACACAGGCTTGCAGACAGGCTCCACAGACCCCTGCAGTGACCCGTGGTGAGAGAGACAGCCCTCGGCACCAGGCCCCGGGGCTCTTCCCACGCCCTCAACAATGGTTCCAGGCTGAGGTCTCTCAAGGCCCCCAAACAGGAAGCAGGACTAGGGGGCATCCGGGGCCATGAAGCCGGACTGAATGCAGTCACTTCCGGTTCGAGGCCACACTGGCCATCTCCCTGCCTCAACCCAGGACAGCCGTCTCCCGCCACTAACATCTGACCCACATCCCTCACATTAGGATCAGGGTCCAAGGAGCGCCAGACTCAGCACTGGACCCTCGAGTTGGGGGGCTGCAGTGGCCGGGGAATGAGGCCAGTGGCCTGGGGACCCAGCGGGAGGCCCCGGGGGAGGCCCAGCACAGCAGGCCGGGAGGAGGTGCAGGCTGGCCCAGCACATTGCTCACATTCCTCGCTCCAGCCTGGCTCAGAACTCTTCCTGCCGCCTCCCAGCTGGGCCCTTGGGCTTCCAGGGGCGTCCAAGCCCCAGTCCCAAACAGGCTGCCCCAGAGCTGGACAAGTGCTTGACTCCCAGCCCTGCCTGTGACCAGTCAAAGAGGCTGGCCTGGGGGTAACTCTTGGAGCCAGGCTCTACAGCCCCCATATGGTGACTCACCAGCCCGGGCAGAGAAAGGCCCCCATTGTTGCTCAGAGTCCAGCCTGCTCACACCAGGGTGCCCAGGGTCCCCTCTGCCAAGCCTGGGTGCCAGAGACCTAAGCTGGGTGCTGATGACCTCACTGCCCACCCCGCCCCCCAACCCGTCTGACCTGCACAAGACCCCGAGACGGGCTCTGTGGAGGGGTTCCCGGGGCCGGGGCAGATGGTGCGGCGTTCCCAGAGCGGGCCATGGGAGTCAGGACAGATGCGTTGGGCAGAGCGTCCAGCTGGAGTGACCTGAGCTCTCGGGCCAGCGTGGGCTGCCACCCCATTTATCCACCTCCCACTGTGGCCCAGACTCCCCAGGGACGGGTGGGGACACGGGGCTGAGTCACTTTGGGGAACAGGGTGGTGACCGAGTCCCCCTCCCCTGCTCAGGCTCCAGCCCGGCGCCCCCCACCAGCCAGGTTTCCGTCCGAAGAAAGGAAGGAAGGAAACTGCTGGGAGGCCCTGCCCTGCTCCCAGGACCCAGGGCTGGGGAGGCCAGGAGGCCAAGGAGGGTACGCTGGCCGCCAAACAAGAGGCAGTCCTGCTGCAGCTTGGGGGGCAGGGGGCAGGGAACAGGAACCAGGGGGCCCCCAAAGCCTGCCTGTAGGCTATGCACGCCCTGCAGGACCCTGTCCCCTCACTCCCCCGAAGGCCTCCAGAACTGGGTGTGAGGGGAGGTGGGCCTGGGGCCTGCCACACCCTCGTGGCTGGCACCGCCGGCTGCCCCATCTCTGATGGAGGCGGGCCCCCATCACCGTCAGGATCAGCTGCACTGCAGCTGCAGCCACCCCAGCGCAGCCCGAAGCGGGGCTGAGTCACCACTGACAGCCCTGACAGCCCCCCGCGGGGAGGGCCCGCCACACCAGCGTCCCCCCGCCCCACCTCGCGCACCCCTGCCCAGGACGGGAGGAAACTGAGGCTGCGAGAGCCAGAGGGGCCCTCCCTCCCTCAGGGCAAACCACCATCTTGGTCCTGCAAGCTGCGCCATCTCTCCCAGGTTCTCCGATCCCACTGCCATCGAGGTCCCACCAGGGCAGCCCTGTATAGGAGCATCGTCCACGCAGGCTCCCTGACGACCCACAGGGGCAGAAGCTAAGCCTGGTTTATGGAGGTCGCAGAGCCCCCGCCCCTCCTTCCCGTGCTCTGAACTCAGCCAATTAAATCACGGCTCACTGGTTGGCGGTGCTGGGGGCGGTGGAAACCGCGAGACCCTGTCTTCAGGGACTCTTCTGACCTGGGGCCCCATCCCCAGGCCAGCTCCCACCTCAGAGGGACCTGCCACACGGGCCCCACTTTGTTCCTCTAAAAATACACCCAGCGGAAGACCCCTCCTAGGGCTTCCTGCAGCCCCCAGAGCCTGAAATAGTGGAGGGGGAAGGTCCCACCCAAGGACAAGGTGCCTCCCCATCCTCCAGATAAGGCCCGAGGGCAGCTTTTTCCACAGGAAGGTGAACTCAGCCATTTGTGTCTAAGTCAATGGACAAACGCCCAGGGCGCTTCCTCCTGGGGGTGAGGTGCCCTGGGAAGGAGGGAGGCTCCAGCTCTTAGGTGGGGGCGCGCTCAGCCAGCACCCTGTCCCAGGGCTCCCCTGGAACCACAGATCTGACCCTTAAACCCCTACTGTGGCCTTCAGTGGCCCCGGGGCAAAGTCCAGACTCCAGGACTTGGCACTGTGGCCCTAACCAACCCCCAGCCTGCCCTCGAGCCACAGAGAACAAAAAGGGTGGCAGGGCTTCGTGCCCACGCCTGTGCCCAGGCTCCCCCCTCCCCCCACCGGGAGAGCCCTTCCCCCCCAGGGGAAGCCCGAAGCCCCCCAGCACCCCGGTCACAGGCCCAGCAGCTTGCCAGGGACACAGCTGGGCAAGGACAGGTGTCAGGGCCTCCTGGACACCCAGAAACTGCCCTAGGCTAGTGGTTCTCAAAGTGGGGCCTGGGGAACCCCTTGGCTTGAATCCTCCTTTAAGACTTTTTTTTTTCTTTTAAAAATAAAAGAAGGTAGCAGGACATGAAAGCAGTCCCCCGGGGCTTCCAGGAGGTCTGGACAAGCAGGCTCAGGAGAGCTCTAGGTGCTATGCCAACAAGGCCATCCCTAGGCCTAGCTGCCCAGCAAGAGGCAGAACTGGGCCGCCCCCACATCTCCCCCCCAGCTGCTTCCCAGCTGACTTTTCCAATCCGAAGGGGGCAGTGAGCAAGGGGCAGGTACCCCAGCCCCAGCAGACCCCGCCTGGAGAGTCCTCTCAGTCCTACAGAGGAGGGCCAGGCCCCTCCACGGCCATCACAGCACAAGCAGGCTCCTCATACGGACGGACAGACAGACAGACAGACACCCAACACAGGCACAGACCTGAGCATGCTTGGTCCCGGGACACCCCAGCAGCCCCTCCCCAGGTCCCTCAGCCCCCAGGCCAGGGAGAGGGCAGCTCATCAGAGTGACCTGTCCTTCCTGGGACAGCAGCTCTGATGAGCATCCCAGGGTAGAAGGCCCAGATGGGGCGGGAACCAAGGCCAGGCTGCTGGGCCGCACGGGCTGAGACCATGGGCTGAGGGCAGAAAGGGTGGCTCCAAGGAGCCAAGAGGGTCATCAGCAGGGGCGGAGTAGGGACCCGGAGGGGCAGCGAAGGACGAGACGATGGTGCAGATGAGGCCAGGGTGGTCCCTGTGAGCAGAGCCCGCCGTACCTCCTGGGCGGCCTCAGAGCTGAGGCTGCCCGCTTGCGCCCAGTCTGGCTTCGGCTCCCAGGGGTCGTGGGCCGGCGGCAGCCCTCGCCGGGCCATCTCCTCGGTGCAGGTCAGCTGCCGCCGGCGGAGCTCCTCGTCCGTCTCCTTGTCCACCACCAGCAGGCACGTCTGCCCCTCCACGGCCTTGATCCTCTGCACCACCTGGGGTAGGCGGGTGTGGGACCGGGTCACAGCCGGCACTGCAGGCAGCACAAGGGCAGCGGCCCCACCCCGGGCTGGCCCAGGGCAGCAGGCAGGCCGCGAGCTCAGGCAGCGGTGGGCGGCTGGACCGAGAGGCCCGCGGCCCCACCCCCCACCCCTGGCTCCAGCAGCTGCCTCCCTCTTCTCCCCGGGCTGCAGGCACCAGGGCCCACGCTGCAAGGGCCCGGGAAGTGACAATGACCGTGTTCGGCTGGGCTTCAGGTTTTCAGTCTTCACGTGTGTGCATGTGTATGGCCTGCGGCCTGCAGCCTTCTAGTTCAAGGTGTCTCTGGGTCTGGGTTTGAAGGGGAGAAGTGACTCCCTGGGTCCCAGGCTCAGGGTGTCTGTGCCTATCTCTGTCTTTCCAGGAATGGAACACAGTCTAAATGTCTGCCTCTAGGCCTTCTGTTCTCTTCCAGACCACAACCTTGAACCTGTTCCTGCTGGACCTGCAGAGAGACCACCTGGGGTCCTATGGAAAGGCGCCTACTCAGGAGCAAACCCACAAACCGGAAAGCAGGATTCAGAGGCCATAGGCAGAGGTGGGCAGGGGTAGGTGTGGTTATGCAGTGTCTGTGAAGTGTCTAGAGCATGTGCAAGGCCATACCTGCCAGTGTGTGCCTGCAGGAGGGCAGTGCCCACTGGGCATTGGTGTAGGGAGGGTAACACCCGATGCCTCCCCAGGGCCTCAGGAAGGACCAATGGGGCCCAATAGATGCTTTCAAAAGAGGAGGGTCTGAACCAGGCCCGTCTTTGCCCCAGCCCTCCTCTGCATCTGTCTCTCCTCATCACCCCCAGAGTCACAGGAACCCTGGACCCTGATGCTTCCTGACTATGGGACCCAGACGAGTCACCCAGTATCTCCAAGCGTCAGTTTCCTCATCTGTAAAATGGGAACCAGAACTGTACATTCTCCTTGCCAAGACAGTAGGAAGGTCTCACAGGGTCCTGTGTGTGAGGCTCCTAGAGACCAGCACCCCGGGAGGCCTGGGATAGGCAAGCTTCACTCTTAGGGCAAAGGTGGCGGCGATTATTAAACAGAAGCTGGGCCCCGGCTCAGCCAGGCCCTCCCCATGGCCTTTCCGTCCAAGCTCTCGTCCCTGACCCTCACCCTCCTTCAGCAAACAGTCCATCCAGCTGACACTCTGAGTAAAAGACAGAAGGACAGCTGACAGAGGGAAACACAAAACCTCCAAGACAGAAACAAAGGGCAGCCCCCAGCCCAACCAAGAGCCAGTTTATGAATCTCAATGCCCAGGGCTGGTCCTGCAAAAGGTGGGGTGAGGGACACAAAGGACGCTAAGTAAAAGGGGTGGAAGAAGACTGGTCTCGAGCCATGTGAGTCGCTGGTCAGTGGGAGATGAACACCCCCCGGGGGTTAGAACCTACAGAGAATCTCCTGGCCTTTATCTTCTGCTGCAAAAGGCAGGGCGCTGCCACCTGTGATCCCAGCCAGGCCGCCCAGCAGCCTCTGAGGACAGGAATGTGTTGCCACCAGAGGCAACTCCCACCAGGATCCAGACACCCTGGGTCAGGACACACACTAGTACAACAGGCTGCAGACACACACAGGAGGATACACACAGCCTGGCTGGCAGACACACAGCTGGGACACACATACACGCAGCCATACACAGGAGGATATACACACATACACAACCCAGTTCACACACCTCCAGGCAGGCAGACCCGTACACACACACACACACACACACACATCTAGGGGTGCAAACGTGTATACTCACATGCACACAGTCCAGCACACACACTCACTCAACTGATGCCAGCACACACAGGTGTGCCCTCGCTGTGAAATCCGCGGCAGGTACACTCGAGGGCCCGGCACATTCACAGACATACCCAGTTGTGTACACACGCACATATATACACGCTGGTAGAAAAGCACTGGGGTCCTCAGGCTCACGGAGACCCCCGAGGTGCTACCTCCTCCACACACTGCCCTGCGGCCGGAACAAGACCAAGAGCGAAGAGCAAGGACTGAGACCCGGAGGAGCCGCAGTGCGGGCCCCTCCTTTGCCAGGATCCACCCCCCTTGGGGCAGGACCGACCGGGGTGGACGAGGCTCGGAAGGAGGCCGGCTGCCGCGGCCTCGGGGGCCACGTACCCCACCTCTCCACGGGAGCCCACAGAGGCCCTTGTGCCATCCCCTCCTGCCTCGGAGAAGGGACGGAGGCCTGGACGCAGGCAGCGCCGAGCCCGGTGGTCACCGGCGCGGGGCAGGGACGCGCGCTGGGGCTGCGGGGTGGGGGCTTGCGGCGGGTCTGCGGGCCGGTGGGCCGATGGCGGAGCGCAGACACCCACCTGGTGGTGCGTCTCGCCCTCCACGTTGACGCCGTTGACCTCGACCAGCCGGTCTCCGGCGCGCAGCGCGGCCGCCTCGGCCGGGGAGCCGGGCTCGACGCGCCGGATGAACTGCCCGCGGCGGCCCTTCTCCCCGTGCAGGTGGAAGCCGTAGCCGTGCTCGCCGCGCACCAGGCGGCACAGGCGCGGCCGCAGCGGCTCCGGTGCGGCCATGGCGCCAGCTGCCCACCGGCCGGCCAAGGGCTGGCCACGGCACTCACGCCCGTCGCAGGGCGGGCAGGGGCGCGGGGCCGGCGCGGGGGCGGCGCGGAGGCGGCGGCGTCGCTGAGGACCCGCTGGCGGCCTCGGAGGCTCCCGCTCGGCTCGGCTCCCGTCGCCTCCGGTTCGGGCTCGGGCTCTGGCTGCGGCACCGCCCCCGCGCCCGCCCCTTCTCCGCCCCCTCCGCCCTGCCGCCCCCGCCCCGGGTCCAAGCCACCCTGGCCATTCCCCTGCCTCAGGCCCCGCCAGGCAGGGAGGCCGGGAGGGAGACTGCAGGGCCAGGGAACCCCCGAATCACCACGACCCTTATGTCTCGCCCCCATTCTGGGCAGCCTCCTTAGCGCCAGCGCTTTTGCTTCCTATGCCAGTAACACTGGGTGAGTGCTAAGTCGCTTCAGTCGTGTCCAGCTCTTTGCGACCCCTTGGGTCTGTAGTCCGCCAGGCTTCTCTGTCCATGGGATTCTCCAGGCAAGGATACTGGAGTGGATTGCCATTTTCTTCTCCAGGGGATCTTTCCAACCCAGGGATCGAACCCATATCTCATGTCTGCTGCATTGGCAGGTGGGTTCTTTACCACTAGCACCACGTTATCGAGCACCTACTAAATGAACAGCACAAGAATGGAGGCAGGCCCCTGAGGTGGGAGAAGGGGCGGAGAAAGAGTCCTTAGGCTGAAGGACCACCACCCAAGGGCCAAAAGGTAAGAACAAGGGCCGTGGCTCTGCCCACCCTCCTCTGGAAGCCCCCTCCCTCTCCCATGCCCCGTTCCGCTATCAGGATCCCTCCTGTACCCAGCACCGAGTGCCAGGATGGTCCTGGAGGCAAAAAGAGGGGATTGAAACTGACCAGGGAGCGGCCCCCCTGTATCCCGGAGGCCAGGCTCAGTGACTTCCTGGCCCTCCCCAGGAGTGTCTGTGCCTGTCTGTGCTGTGCTGGCCCAGGAAACTCCCCACCACCAGCCCCTCCCTCTACCAGGACCCTCACTCCTGTCCCTGCCCACCCCAGGCCCGGTGGGTGACTGCAGAGGGTGAAGGAATGACATGCACTTGTCTGGCTGGAAGGAAGGGGTCTTTGTCCCCCTCCTCTCGACCTGGGATGAAATGTACTGACGGCTTGGGTGCCAGCTAGACCCTCCTGCCCCCGAGCCCTTCCTCCCCTCCCCTCCCTCCACCTCCCCCAGAATGAATGCCCCCTTCTCCCAACCGATGGACAACTGCTTATTCTTCGTGTGTCTCTCTGAGTACATGCTACCCGGAACAACCCTCGAGGGCTCAGGCCATTTTACAGGAAACAGGTCTGGAGAAGGAAGAGACCCATGCAGGGTTTGGGGGGAGGGGGGTGTGATTCCAAGCCCACACTCTTCAGCTTTCTCAGTCACCCATCCAGGAAACCAGCTGAGCTGCAGTCTCACCCTCAACCTGCCCCTCCCAGCCCTGCTCAGCCCCCTGCACCTACCTGGTCCCCAGGGGTCAGGCACAACCAGCCCAGACAGTTCCCCATGATGGGACAGGCAAGCTCGCTCAGGCTCAGTCCTTGCCGCTCCTTCTTCACTTGCCAGTGCCCTCAGCCTGGGCTCCTCACCCTGGCCAAGCACGGCCCGCCGCTAGGCAGCCTCCTGGGCCACAGCCCCTTGGGTGTCCACACCCAAGCTGCTGCCCCTAAAAGCCACTTAGGCTGCAGCAGCAAGGCTGCTCCCCCACCCCCACCTCTGAGTTCCTTGCTCATGCTGCTGTAGGCTCCTGCCTGACTAGCCACCTCCATCTGTCCATCTGTCTGTCCACAGGCTGCCTGTTTGGACCCAACCTGGTACCACAGTGCCCAGAGTCTGTGAGGATGAGTATGGACAGTGGGGGTCCATGATATACCACCCCACCCCCCAGTGTAGGTGGGCCTTAGGGGTCACCCTACAGCAACCCAGGACCTGCCAGGTATGCTCTGAGGCCATACCATAGGCAAGAGAGGTGGCCAGATGGGAGACCCCCCCAGACCAAGGGGTAGGGAAGGTAGGGCCCCCTGGTCCCTTGGGTCAGGATGCTTGGAGACCTCGTCCTCTTCTATAGAGCAGACACTCTCAGATCAACCTGCAGCCCAGGACTCAGCCTGTGAGTGAAGATGGATGGGGTTAGAGCACCCCTGGAGGATGGGATAAGCAGGGGATGTGCTCACAGCCAGGGGCCAGGTACACTGCCTTCCAGAATCACAAAGGCGGCCCTAAAGCTAAAGAAAAGCCAAGGAAGTACCAAGAAAGGTTGATAGAGTAACAAAGACGACATCAGAACGGGCAGCAAAGTGAGTGGGTAGAAGCAACAAAATAAATGCAGCAGCTACTACCTGCAGGGGCTTCCCAGGTGGTGCTACTGGTAAAGGATCTGCCTACCAATGCAGGAGACGCAAGAGATTATGTTGGATCCCCGGTGCTCGCTTCGGCAGCACATATACTAAAATATGTTGGATCCCCGGGTTGGGAAGATCCCCTGGGGAAGGAAATGGCAACCCACTCCAGTATTCTTCCTTGGGAAATCCCATGGACAGAAGAGCCTGACGGGCTACATTCCTTGGTTTCACCAAAAGCTGGACATGACTGAGCACGCGCATGCACACACACACATACACACACACACCACCTGCAGGGACCAACTCAGAAGGGGGAGCAGGAAGGAGTGAGAGGGACAGGGAAGGTGAAAATGGCTCCAAGCAGCTCTCTGGAAAACTCTCCCAGGCCTCTTCCTTCAGCCTCTCTCTGCGGGAGTGTGAGACGAGAGAGGCCAGGCGGCCAAGGGAAGGGAGAAGCCTGGGAGGTGGCTCAGGAGCGTGCCCTGAGGTGTTTGGGCTGGAAGCTGTTTGTGTCGCTGAGGCCGGGCTGGGGCTGGGGTGGTGAGCTGGAGGGGTGGGCAGGCAGGCAGGTGCAGGTGAGCGGAGGCCTGGGTCAGGCCCACCCTCTCACTCTGGGACACTCACCCACTTGTGCCATCTAGGCACGCTGGGGTGCGAAAGAGGAACAGGAGGTACGTCCGACCTTCCAGTCCTCCTCTCCCTGGGCTGGGACTGTCCTGTGCTCTTGTTTCGGGGAGGGGGTTCCCTCTGACCTCTGAACCTACCTCCCTGCGGAGATGGGGCAGAGCCTGCGCCTGGGCAAGCTCTGGGGCGTGGCCGTGGGCAGAGGCCTTGTCACTGCCAGAGGGGAGGGCTGGGGGCCTGTTGGGGGTGGGGGGCGCCATTAGTCTGACGCCCGGCTAATGGGCCTGCGCTTCTCGGGCCGGCGCGGCCTCCCTAATGGGCATTAAGGGTCTCGCGGGATGACCAGGCCTCGCTCACAACCCCTTCCTTCAGCCTTCGCCAGGCCTCTCTTCAGAGCCCCAGAGGGGAGCAGGAGGGACCAGCGCAACGGGAAGAGATGAGAACAGGAGGTCCGGAACGGAGGAGAGAACCGAAAGGTCGGAGGACCAATGAGGGCAGAGGCGCACAAAACCCGCGGTCGGGGACGCCCCGGCGGCCTGCCCCGCCCACCCGGTTCTGGTCCCGCCCACCACCCGCCCCGCCCCGCCCCGCCCCGCCCCGCCCCGCCCATTACATCCCCAGCCCCGCCCACCACTCGCCCAGCCCTGCAGATAGCCGGAGGCACGGACCGCGCCTGCCGCCCAGGAGAGCAGCCGCGCAGCGCCTCCTGCCGGTCCTCCGTAGGATTGCAGCGTCCGGGGAGCTGCCCAAGGTCCCACCCCTGGTTCTGACGGCTCCAGCCTCGCCGGGTGGGAGATTCGGGTGAGGCCCGCGCCCTAGCGCTGTGAGCACTGCTGGAGCATAGGGCCACCCTGGGAGTGGTAGGCAGAGAAGGCGGGCCTCTGCCGAGCTCCCGATGGGCTCTGCTTTCTCATCTTGGATCTGGCACCAGCCTCTGCACTGGGGTGTCTTCTCTAGACCACATGAAATCTAGCCCCTCACCGAGTGCTCCAGCGCTTGTAACCCAAACATTCACAGGCCACTTGGCGTCAGGCTCTGGTGAGCACCGAGGAGGCATCGCTGAGACCCAGGGAAGCAGATTTGTGTACCTTGGCGAGGGGATGCACAGGGCTGGGGCAGCCCCCAGGAGGAGCATGTAACCTGGCCTGGGGCCCTGGAGTTCTCAGGCAGAGTGGGCCACAGGGTTGCTCTGAAATCTTCCAAGAGTTCGGGCAGACTGTGTGGGGAGGGGAGAGAGGAATGAGATGGGAACAGGGCCCGGCCTCAGAGTAGGAATTCTGTTGCATGAGTGGTGGGAGCCCTTGAGGTGTACTGCCCTGGGGGTAACAAGGTCAGGACACCCATGTTCAGTGAGGAGCAGAGACAAGAACTTTGCAGGGTGGGGGGGAGCAGGTTGACCTGAGTGGTCTGCGACTTCCCCCAGTGCAGACCCTAGAGGGGAAAAATAACTGAGTGGAATCAGGGAGCCATAAGAATTGGAAGGGTGGAATCAAACAGAGCACCCACACTAGCAGGCCACGTGGGAGAAAGGTGCACCCAGATGAGAGGCTTTGGCCAGTGGGGAGATACCTCCAGAGGGTGCTTCCTAAGGCCCCAGGGGGTGGCGGGTGTAGCATGGGGGCTGGCTCCACGTGGGCCTTCCAAAGTCAAGAGCTAGACAGACCAGAGGCCACCCTTCCTCCTGTCCTTGCTGGGTGCCCCAAGGTCAGCCTTGCCACACAGCCAAGCGAGGATTCCGAGGGCAGCCGGACAGCATCGGGGCACGGTGACCAAGCACTCCAAGGTCCAGGACAGTTGTGGGACTCCAAGCCCACAGTGAAGAGGGTAGAAGGGGGAGCAGAAGGGTGGGGTGAGGGGACCACTGGCAAAGGACCCAGATGGAGGGAGGCCCTTGCAAGGTGGCAGAGCACATTTACACAGGGGACTGGGGAACAGTAACTGGAAATGCAGAAGGGAGTCAGCAGCTGAGGGGCCTCTGATGACGCAAGGGGGTGTCAGGCGGAGGTCCTTCCTTCCTAGGAAGAGAGCATGGCCATGGCAAGGGGGCCACGGTGTCCCCACTTCCTCTCTGGCAGCCCTTGGCTGAGGGGAGGGAGGGGTTCCAAGGGGATCCAGGTTTGAAACGAACGCTGGGAGGTGGGGGATGGGCTGCCAGGTGTTAAGATCCTGCTCCCTTGGGGAAGACGTTCTCCCCAGGCTGGCCAGAGGGCGCAGTGAGGGGACCCCCTGTGGGGCTCCTGGGAGGCTGGAGTGGGGGCTGCTACTCTCCTCCTCCTGCACACCTTGATGCGAGGCAGCCGTGGGATACCCCTCCCCTCCTTGGGGACCCTGGGACCTGATTTGATGACCCCACCCCCTACAAGGAGGGGCAGCACTGGCAGAAAAGGGAGAAGGGGACCCAGCCCCCAGCAGTGTCTCTGCCTCTGTGCCCCACTTCTGCCCCGCAAGGACACGCAGGTCTCGGCTGGGTTGGGGCAGAGAGGGCGGAGCAGGGGTTGGGCGGGGAGAGGCGGGGGGTGGGAACGCGTCCCCCGGCAGGCCGGCGGGAGGGAGGGCTGACATTTGCCAGGGCGTGGGCGCGGCAGTTTGCGCCTCGCAGCCAGATGACAAAGTACACAACTTGGAGGAAAAGGGTCACACGCGGGGGCGCGGCAACTAGGCGAGTTTTATTGAACAGACGGCCGGCCTGTTGGCCGAAGACACTCGGTCTGGGTCAGGCGCGGGGGCGCGAGCAGGGGTGGCGATCAGGACGGCTCCGGGGCTAGGCGGGGGCTGGCGAAGGCGGTTCCCTGCGCAGACCGTGACTGAGCCGGAGACTCTCCGAAGGCTCTAGAAAGAACAGAGAGGCCCGTGGGGAGAGGGCCTTGCGCTCTCCACTACCGCTCCCCCGACTCCGCGGGCTGGAAGCGTAGAGACTGCTCCAGGAGAGCCTTCCCTGGAGTCGGGGATAGAAAGGTCGTTGGGTGCCCTGCGGGCAGGCAGACAGCACGGCTCAGATCTCCTCCCCCCTTGTCTGCTGGCGTCCTGTCCCCCTCCTCTCCCCGCGTACCTGGCCTGCTCCGCCGAGGTCCAGGATTAGGCGCCCGGCCGCCGCTCGGGTTGGCGCGCGGACTCCGGGGCGCCCAGGTTGCGAGGCTCACTGACTGGGAGCCCGGCCCCAGGGCTTCTGCGTCGCGCCTCCCACGGTCTCTGAGCTCCGGAGGGAAGCAGCAGAGCATCGAGGGCGGCGGGCCCCAGAGAGAGGGTGTTTCTGGCAGAGGGCCCCTGGGGCAGCGCGCCCAGACCCAAGGTGTCCCAGGCGAGGGGCCCGGCCGCGCGGCGCCACATGTAGGGCGAGTGGCGCAGCCCCATGAGCAGGCCGGCCGCGCGGCCCACCGTGTGGTAGCGGGGGCTCGCCACGTGCTTGTACCAGGCGCCGGTGGGCGGGGGCAGCAGCAGCAGCAGCCACAGTAGGGCGAGCAGCCGGCGGCTGGCGGTGGCCCCCCGCCCCGGGCCCCGCACCCCTGTGCCCCGCGCCAGGGTGCTCACGTCGACGGCCGCCCGGAGGCGCGGACCAGGCTCTGACTCCGTCGGGTCTGCGCGCGCCGCGTGGAGAAGCCGGAGTGCGGGAGCTGCAGGCGGGGAGTTGGGCCCCGCGGGTCCGGCTATAACTGCTCGGCGGCCCCGCCCCTGCTCGCCCCCGCAGTACCTGCCGGGCTCCCTAAAGGGAGGAGGCGGGATGAAGGGAGAAGAAGAGCCCAGGCCACGCCGCAGGACGTGGGCTCCTGAAGCACCCTGGCTGAGTGGGCTTTTCTCTGGAATTCATCTCCTCCTCTGCCTGGGGGCTCCCCTCCTCCCTTGTCTCCGCCCCTCTTCCTCTATCCCCAAGGAGAGGAGCTGCCAGGCGCAGGGATGGGGTACAGGCAGGCCAGGAAGGTGGGGTACAGGCAGGCCAGGAAGGTGGGGTACAGGCAGATCACACTGGAAGGCCAGCAGCGCCCCAGGGGGCAAAGCAGGAGAGCTGACGGGTGGGGGCCCTCTGCACCACCAAGACCCCTATGCCTGCCTCCTCCCCTGATGGCTGTTCCTTATCCTCACCTGTGTGTGCTCAGTCGTGTCCAGCTCTTTGAGACGCCATGCACCATAGCCCACCAGGCCCCTCCATCCATGGGGATTCTCCAGGCAAGAATACTGGAGTGGGTTGCCATGCCCTCTTCCAGGGGACCTTCTTGACCCAAGGATCAAACCTGCGTCCCTTATGTCTCCTGCATTGGCAGGCAGGCTTTTTACTACCAGAGCCACCTGGGAAGCCCTCACCTAACACAGTTCAAATCTGTGCCCACACCCCCTTCTCTGCTCCCTAACCCCTAGCTTCTCCCCAGCAACATACTTCCCAGCTGCTGCTAGGTGGCGGATGCTTGCAGCTGCAAGTTTAGCCAGAAGACAGTGGTTAGGATTAGGCTCCCAGAATAGTCAGTCCCTCTTCCCCACCCCACCCCCCCCCCAGCCCTGCCCTGGGCAGGATAAGGCTCTGCAGACCTCCAGCCTCCTCTTTGACTGAAAGTGAGAGTCACTCAGTCTGTCCTACTCTTCCCAAGCCCATGGACTATACAGTCCATGGAATTCTCCAGGCCAGAATACTGGACTGGGTAGCCTTTTCCTTCTCCAGGGGATCTTCCCAATCCAGGGATCCAACCCAAGTCTCCCATATTGCAGGCGAATTCTTTACCAGCTGAGCCACAAGGGAAGCCCAACAATACTGGAGTAGGTAGCCTATCCCTTCTCCAGCGGATCTTCCCGATCCAGGAATCGAACCTGCGTGTCCTGCATTGCAGGTGAATTCTTTACCAACTGAGCTATCAGGGAAGCCCTCCTCTTTGTCTGTGATCCCCTAAAACCACGTTCTCTGGCCAGACCAGTCTCAATTCTTTTGCTTTACCCAACAACGCATGAGTTGCCCCATTTCTGTGCTTCCGTGCCTGGGACGGACATCCTGGCCTTTTCAATCTGTGACCAAACTCCTACTCATCTTTCAGGATTCTGCTTAAATAGTCCCTATCTGAATAGTCTCCTGGAGTATCCCTCTCTGCCTGCCTGGGGTTAATAGCCTCCTTCCAGATGTCAGGGCCTGACCCATTCTTGCCTGAGCCCTAAGCCAGGGAGGATTCAGCCCTCAAAATAATCAGAGCTCACCCCACCCCTCCCCCAGCAACCACACCACTCACGGGGTACCTTCTAGGTTCCAGACACCGGAGATCCTGAATTATCATATTCTGATCTCCAAACAATGCCACGTGCATGTGTGGTAAGTTGCTTCAGTCATGTGCAACTCTTTGCCACCCTATGAACTATAGCCCGCCAGGCTCCTCTGTCCATGGCATTCTCCAGGCAAGAATACTGGAGTGGGTTGCTGTGCCCTCCTCCAGGGGATCTTCCTGACCCAGGGATTGAACCCACATCTCTTATATCTCCTGCATTGGCAGGAGGGTTCTTTACCACTGACACCACCTAGGAGATTCCCAAACAACGCCACAAGGTGGGACAATTATTGATTCCATCTACCAAAGAGGAAACTAAGGCCTGGGGGAAATTAACTTGCTCCAGTCACCTGGGTAAGCACTGGGGACGGAGTGGGGTCCAACCTAGACCACCAGCCTGAGAGTTCCAGTTTGGGGACCCCAGCTACAGTGCTCAATGGAAGCCTTCCCTCCCCCTCTGCCTGTCTCCTCAGCAAGAAGGAGGGGTGAATCTGGGGCAGAAGGGGAGCACAGTCTGGGTCTGTCCTTCCTCTCAGACCTGCATATTGGGAGAGGCACAGAGGGGCTCAGAGGTGCCAAGGAAGTCCCCTGCTTTTGAGGCAGGAGGGGCAGAGGGGTCTGGTGATCCCCTGGGGGAGGTCTGGAAGCCGTTAGCTCTCCCCACAAAGGCCCTATGGAGCAGCTGAGAAACGTGCCCTGGAGCTCAGTGCCCCAGGCTGGATGTGGGTGTGGGGGGAGGCACTCCTGCCTCAGTTTCCTCATTGGTAAACAGTAAGGGTAGCTTCCTGACCAGCTTGCTGTGAGCACTAAACATCCAGGCCACTGGAACTTCCCTGGCCGTCCAGTGGCTGAGACTCTGCACTTTCACTGCAGGGGGCATGGGTTTGATCCCTGGTCTGGGAAGTAAGATCCTGAATGCTATGTGGCATGGCCAAAATTTTTTTTTTAAATCCAGGCTGAGTCTTGACACGGTGCCTGGCATGCAATAACCAGTGAAGTCACTCAGTTGTGTCCGACTTTTTGCAACCTCACAGACTGTGGCCTACCAGGCTCCTCCATCCATGGAATTTTCCAGGCAAGAGTACTGGAGTGGATTGCCATTTCCCTCTCCAGGGGATCTTGCTGATCCAGGGATCAAACCCAGGTCTCCCGCATTGCAGGCAGACACTTTACCATCTGAGTCACCAGGCGAGGTAAATGGCGTGGCTAACATCTGTTACTGTTGCTGTTCCAGCGGCTGCCTAGTCCCTGAACCTGTCAGAGAAGATGCTTTGATGGAGGGGTGATGGAGCAGGGATCAGGCAGGGCGGGGGTACAGAGGGAGCCGCCTGCGCGCCTCGAGGGGCCTGGAGGACCGCAGGGACCAGTGGGCCGAGTGGAAAGCTGCCCCTTCCACCCACCACTGCCTCTCTCTCCTGGGGCCCCTTGGCCTTGAGAGCTGCCTGGAGTGTGCGGTGGGTGGGCAGCGTGGCACGACGCAAGGGTCCCCTGGCACTGCCGCCCGCTCCCTGCTGAGAGGAGGCGGGGGACTGCGGGCGGCGGGCAGGAAGCGTCTGCGGGCAGAACGTCATCTATGTGAAAGCTGATCAATTGTGGTCGATGCGGTAATGGAGGTTTCTGCGCAGTTAGAAAATTTAAGACAGCTACAGTTAGCAGAGTGGATAAATCTGAAAATGCCATATTGAGCAAAAAAAAAAAAAAAATGCCCTGCACAATGAAATGTTCAGTGTCTGAAGTTTAAATACTAGTGATCCTTCTGGCTGGTTTATGACTGTGAACCAGAGAGAAGGAAAATGTCCCAGTGCAGGTGAGAGGTGGAGAGCATGCTGGGCCAGAGTTGGTGGCTGCCTGTCAGGTGGAGGTGTGTGGAAGGCAGGCAGGGATGGAGCCCAGGGTGGAGGAGGGAGAAGAGCACCGCATCGCTTGATGGCCCCTGGGGGCTCCCAGTTTCTAGTGCTCAGGACAAGAGGCGTCTCTGCCAGCCCTCCCCCACCCAGAAGTCTGGGGCCAAAAGTATGTTGCCAGAGGAGGTAGTGGCCCTAATGATCCATGAGAGCTGCCTGGTCTTTCTGGGGCTTACTGCATTTTTCATCCACACACAGACCCTTCTAGAGGCTGGATGATCATGGATGCTATTGCATATCACCTCCCCTGATGCTGGACCAAGCCCTCCGGGGGGCTGGGCCCATGTCTGCTTCATACTCCCCCTTCCAGGCACAGCACCTGCCTCCTGTCCCAACAGGAACCCCATCCTAATGATACAGCAAATTAGAAAACCTCTCCATTTTGTCATTTAAAATGCTTATGTTTTATTAAGGCTTCCTTGGTGGCTCAGAGGGTAAAGCACCTGCATGTAATGTGGGAGACCTGGGTTCCATCCCTGGGTCGGGAAGATCCCTTGGAGAGGAAAAGGCATGTTTTACTAAGATTATATATGGGCACGCATGCTAAGTCACTTCAGTTGTGTCTGACTCTGTGCAACCTTATGGACTGCCGCCTGCCAGGCCTCTCTGTCCATGGGTTTCTCCAGGCAAGAATACTCGAGTGGGTTGCCATTTCCTTCTCCAAGGGATCTTCCACACTCAGGGATTGAACTCGGGTCTCTTACATCTACCTGCATTAGCAGGTGGGTTCTTTTTTTTTTTTTTAGCAGGTGTGTTCTTTACCACTAGCGCCACCATACATTTTAAGTCAAATGCTAGTATGAGGGACACAGTAAGTGGCCTGTGTTCCACCCTATCACATCAGCATCTTGGCCTCCAGGGGCAATGACTTCCAACTCTTTCAGCTATTTCTCCTAGTATTTGCCTCCATATTTTGCAATCATGAACAACTGCTATTCTAAAAACGAGTGGTCTTTTTTTGGCCATGCCACATGTCATATGGGAGCTTAGTTCCCCCACCAGGAATTGAACCCGCATCCCAGGCAGTGGAAGCATGGAGTCCTAACCACTGAATCACCAGGGCAGTCCCTGGGTGGTCTTTTCTGTTCTGGCTGTGCTCGGTCTTCATGGCTTTCTCCACTTGCGGCAGGCAGTTGGGGACTACTCTTTGTTGCGGTGCACCGCCTTCTCATTGTGGAACACAGGCTCTAGGTGTGTGGGCTTCGTAGTCGTGGCATCTGGGCTTAGTTGCCCCGGGGCATGTGGAATCTTCCCAGGCCAAAGGTCGAAGCTGTGTCGTGTCCCCCCCCAACCCCCCCCTCCGCATTGGCAGGCGGATTCTTAACTCTGGACCAAAGGGTGGTCTTTTTAAGGAGGTATGCTTTGAGTAAAGTATGCACACCTTAACTGCACTTGTTACATATGCCTACCCCTATGTGCCCAGAGCCCAGATCAAGGTAGAAAAGATTTCAGTACCTTAGGGTGCTTCTTCCGGGCTTCCCTAGTGAATCAGTTGGTAAAGAATCTGCCTGCAATGCAGGACACCTGGGTTCAGTTCCTGGGTCAGGAAGATCCCCTGGAGAAGGAAATGGCAACCCACCCTAGTATTCTTGCCTGGGAAATCCCATGAGCAAAGGGGCCTGGTGGGCTACAGCCCATGGGGTCACGAGAGTCGGACACGACTGAGCGACTAAACCACCACCACCAGGGGGCTCCCTTTACTCCTAGACAGAAGTCCCCAGCAGAATTCATCAGCATTTTCTCAACCTCAGCATAGTTGACATTTGTGAGGCTGTCCTGAGCCCCAAGGATGGGGAGCAGCATCTGTGACTGTGTAGGCAGCAAAAAAGCTCTTCCCCAAAGATGTCTGTGCCCTAATGCCTGGAGGCTGTGACTATTTACATGGTAAGGCCGAATTCAAGTTGTAGATAAAATTGAGGATGCTAATCAACTGAACTTCATATTGGGTTTGCAAAAAAGTTCCTGTGGGTTTTCCCCATAAGATGTTATGGAAAAACTTGAATGAAATTTTTGACCAACCCAATATAAGCAAAGCACCCTGAATTATCCAGGTGAGCCTAATGTAATCTCAAGGGTATCCCAAGTGTGGAGGAGGGAAGCAGTCAGAGAAGGAGAGGTGACAATGAAAACAGAGGCTGGAACGATGCAATTTGTGGAAGGAGGAAGGGCCAGGAGCATGGAAAGCAGGCAGCCCACTGGAAGCTGGAAAAGTCAAGGAAACAGGAATGCAGCCTGCCTGCACCTTGGTTTTATCCCAATGAGACTCATTTTTAATTCCTGAACTGTAATATAATAAATCTGCATGTTTTAAGTCACTGTGTTTGTGGTAATTTTTTACAGCAGCAATAGGAAACCAAAAAAAAGGATGAGCGCCAAAGAACTGACACTTTCAAATTGGCCACAGTTCAGGTGGCCAAAATACTGGAGCGTCAGCTTCAGCATCAGTCTTTCCAATGAGTATACAGGGTTGATTTCCTTTAGAATTGACTGGTTTGATCTCCTTGGGGTCCAAAGGGCCCTAAAGGTTTATATATATATATATATATATATTCCCCCCCAACTAAAGTTTCCTTCTGCTCTCTGGGTCTGCTTGTCTTTGTCCCTGTATCTCACACCGCAGACTTTCCTCCTGAGTCTGCAGATCGCTGGCTGCCAGTCAGACCCTGACAGGCTGGCTCCTTTTTGGAGGGGTGTGGCTTGCTGAGATGTGACCTTCATTGCAGGGCAGCTGGGCACCAGGATAGCCTTTCAGTCCCTAACTGGGTATGAAGATCTTCCTGAGGTGGTGCGTTTCCTCAGTGAACAATCCTCCAGTTTCCTGCCGACAGTGAGTGGGAGGAGGACTGGATGGATACAGGGAAGGCCCAGGCGCCCAGTGAATGAACCAACTTCCATGCACTCTTTTTTCAATCCCACCTTCAGTGAACTGCTCTGTGGGGTTCCCCCCACGGGTCTTAAGGATGCTTTGTAAAATGAAAAGCAGTCACCCTCCACCCGCTCTCTGTCATTTCACAGTTTGCTTACATCTTTCACTCACTGCTTGCTCCCTTCCTCTTCTTTGTGCTCATGGAAAAAGTCTTTTACTCCTTTGCTGTCCTTTTAGTGGGATTTTGTGAGGGTGAGACGACACCTGCACATGGCCAATACACCACCAGGTTTAATTGGCATGATGATCCTTGTTTTGCAAACGAGGAAGCTAAAGGCTCAGCAAGTTGACCAAGGTCACCAGCAAATACCTAGTTGGAGTTTCCAGCCCATTTCTGCTTCTACAGTAAAAGCGCATCCTCCCACAACACACTGCCTCTTTTCTAGAAGGGTTCAGCTTTGAACCAACCTCCCTTAACAGCAGAAGAGAGGTCCTGAGTGTGTCTAACCCCAAGCGTAGGGAGGAGGCCCCCGAACAGACTGCAGAGACTCAAAGCCCCTGGATTCACTACCCTCAATGTGAAACCCGTCCTGCTATTTCTCTGCCTCAAGGCCCCACGCTCAGCTGGGTGAGGTCAACTTGCCCATGAAGAGGTTGGGACTGGGGGTGTCCACCCCTGGCTCGGAGGCTGATATCACCACGTGTTGTCTTTTCCAGTAGGGATTGTGTTTGTGTGCGCGCGCGCCTGTGCCCGATGACACACGCGATATTTAGCAAATAAAAATACAGGGCTTTCAGCTAAATTTCAGAGGAACCATGAATAGCATTTTAGTATTAAGTATGACCCATCAATATTTGGGTCATACGTTGCTCCGAGAGGAGTCGGCGGGCCCAGGACAGATGCCTAGGCCAAGAGAAACCGGATGTCCTCAGCCTGGCGCGGGGACGGCGGCAGGCGTCCAAATCGGTCGCCTCCGCCTAGAGCGCCAGGGGGGCAGTCGCCGCTCTAGCCCGCACCTCGCTGAGGCGGAAGTCGAGCACGCACTTCCGCCGGGCGGGCCCGTTGCTGGGCGGGGCGGTGACGTCGCCCCCGGAAGGGGCGGGCCCGCAGGGAGCCAGGCCGTGCGGTGCCGCACCGCACCGCGCCGGCCGGGAGGGGGCCGGATCCCGGACCATGGCGGCGGCTGCGGCGGCGGGCCCGGAGGGACGGCGCGCGGTCCAGGAGGCGGCGGCGGCAGCACCCGAGCGGGGCGGCGGGAGTTGCGTACTGTGCTGTGGGGACCTGGAGGCCACGGCGCTGGGCCGCTGCGACCACCCGGTGTGCTACCGCTGCTCCACCAAGATGCGGGTGCTGTGCGAGCAGCGGTACTGCGCCGTGTGTCGCGAGGAGCTGCGCCAGGTGAGCCGCGCCGGCGGGCCGCGTGTCGGGACTCCCGGGCGGGCGCGGCCCGGCGGGACGGCGGGGCACCCGGCGGCCGGAAGGGAACTTTGCCTTCCTGGTGTCCGGCCACAGGCCTCGTGGCGCTGGCTTCCAATGGGGAGGCCCGGCGCTGCCGCCTGGGGCGGGGTCCCCATCGTTGGACCAGCTGTGGGCCGTCTGGGGGCGGGAGGCAGGCGGTGGCCAAGGTCCCTGTGGGCCCAGAGCTTGCGGGCTTTCCTGCTGACCCCTAGGACTCCTGCCAGGCCGCCGGAAGGGGCACGATCAGAGCAGGCGCTCCCCGACTCGTTCGGCTTTGGGGGTTTATTCCTCAGGGGTCTCCATCCCCGTGAAGGCAGCAGGGAAAGCTGGGCACCTTCAGAGGCGACCTGTCCCGGGAGCAGAGGATCAGTCTGGGCGTTTCCAGCCCAGCCGTTTGTCTGGGCATCTCTGGGTGACGCTGAGGGAACTCCTTCTGAGACTGGCGTTTTCATCTATTAAGTGACTGTTGTACTCTGTCTGACCTGCCACCCAAGGGGAAAGCGAAACCACTGAGGTCTCTTCAGGGTGCCTGGTGGGTGGGGATAAAAGTGTTAGAAGCTTTCATCCTCCTTGCCAGTTTCAGCTGGGACGGGGGAGTGCTCGGCTCCGAGTGGAGGGGCGGGAATTTCTGGCTGTCCAGACTTGGAAGTCTCCCAGTGAGGTCAGAGGGCATCATCCCCCCCCACCCCCCAACCCTCCTCGAAATGCCAGCTGCTGGCTGGGGGCACTTAGCTGGAACTCCCTGGGTTTGCTGTGCTTTGAAATTTGTTTGCTTCTAGAGTTGTGACACTCTCCTGGTATGTGAATGGAAAACTTGGACTAGTGATACCTGTCAGGGAATCTGACTTTTTTCTCCCTACAAGTGATGCAGAAACGACATCCTTTTTTCCTTTTTTTTTTTAAGTAGACTTTTATGTTAAAGGAGCCAAGAAAATGCTGTAATCCCATGAGCTCTGTGGGCACATATCCTGTACCCTACCTGAAGAAGACATTGGGAGGTGCTGTCAGTCTGTGATGGGGTGGAGCAGGACAGACTTGGACCTGGGAGAGGTCTGGGATGCAGGAGCAGTGGGTGAAACCGTGGGCCTGTCTGTGTCTTAGTCAGAAGGCTCCTCCCAGCTATGCCAGAGCCTGCCTTGCAGGCCAGGCTTGCGTGACTGACGTAACTCTTGAATGACCAGGTTTCCCAGCACACGTGTAGCTTCCTGGGTGTCAGGCAGGTAGGCAGGCAGGTGGAGTCTCCAGCCCCGGACATTGCACGTCTCATTGAGAAAGTAAAGGGTTAGTCGCTCAGTTGGGTCCAAATCTGTGAGACCCTGTGGACTGTAGCCCGCCAGGCTCCTCTGTTCATGGGATTCTCCAGGCGAGAATACTGGAGTGAGGAGGAAGTAAGCAGACACCTATATACGGCTCTCATAGCTAGCATCTGGCCTCTCTCATTCCTTGTGGGTCCCACACCCTTCAGGTGCTCTGTGGCAAGGGGGCGTGGACATGAGCTGTCAACTGGCTTTGACTGGGGTGTGGTTTGGCACCAGGTGCTCTGGCCAAGCCACCTTCCTACCAGGCCTGCTCCGAGTTGCTTGGCAGCAGGAGGAGGTTCTGGGCAGTTTGGGAAGATGCTCCTCTCTTTTCACCCGGCCTCCTCCCATGCTTGGACCTGGAATCCACCCCACCCCACCTCCATCCTGTCCCCTGGCTGAGTCCTGCACTGTCTTCTGAATTCATCCTGTGTCCCATGCCTGCTCAGAAACTTCTGAACCCTGCCTCTCCTCTACCTCCTCTATGGGACTAAGCCTCTAAAAAATTGGGAGGAAAGCACGCCAAGATGCTTTGTGGGACAGGCCAGCTCTTTTTGCTTAATTCCTGCATCTTCACGTGGCGCCTCCCTTGGCTGGCCCCGGGGATAGTCCTGCAGCTGACGCTCAGACGAGGAGCCAGATGAGTCAAGATTGCCCGGCAGGTGCTCACGGTGGAGGCCGAGGCTCCTTCCCAGCTGTGGGCAGTGGCAGCACGGGGCTGCTGACTGAGACTGGTGTCAGGTCCCGGGGTCCTGCCCCCTCTTGCCTGGTCCTGTCTTTCCCACTGGCCACGTTCTTCTGAAAGACAAGTCTTGTCTTGCTTTCCACCTGGCCCTGATCCCCGAGGATGTCGGAAAGTCTTGATGGGGCTGCTGTACAAAGTGGGGTGTGTCTGAGCCAGGAGGGGTCCCGCAGATGGCCTGGTGCAGCCCCTCTGCCCCATCTCGTAGGCCAGACCTGGGAGGAAGGCCGGACCTGCTGACTCCGGTCATGCTCCCTGTGGTCCCGGCCCCTCCTCCCCAGGGAGCTGCTCTCACCCTGGTCACGGTGGACACTTCCCTCTTCTGCACTCACTCTCTCTGAGTGCTCGCTGGGAGTGGGGAGCAGCAAGGCCCCCGGCAGACACCCCGCTGGTCAGGGAGTCTGAGAGGGCTTTCGCCCCTCTCTTCCTCTCATCGGGGCCTGATCCTTTTGGGGCCCACCCAGGGGTACCCTTTCACGCTTGGTCATTTACTGCCTGGCCCGCCCAGGGGCTGCCCAGGATGGCCCATCCTCAAGTGTCTAGGCCTGGCCTGTACCTCTGTCCTGGGACCGCTCCCATCCCCCGGTCAGGGGGGCGGGTCTCAAGCCATCACACCGTCCTCCTATGCAGCCATCAGCTCGTCTCACCCTCTTGTGAGGCAGGGACACTGGTTGCTCCCGTCCGTCATCTGACCCAGTGCTGGGGGGCCCCGCCCTGCTCCCAGGCTATGTACGAGGGGCAGTTAGCCTTGCCCCATCCCACCTGCCAGCTGCCAGCCTGCTCGCCTCATTCTCAAATGAACATGGCCTGAGCCTGCGCGCCCACGGTCATGTTCCTTTCCTAAGCCTCTTCTGTGCTCCGGTCCCTTCCTGAGCCCACCAGCAGCCCCCTTTGGCCTGGCTCAGGTGCTCCCAGCCTGGGCTGTCCCAGCAGACTGCTCCGGAGGGACAGACCCCCCCAAGCTGATGGTCACCCAGTCCAGTGAGGGTGCTCACATCCAGGGACAGACTCCACCTGTGGTGGATTGGAGTGGAACTCTGAGGGGAGGGGGTCTCCCCTCACCAGTGTTTCTGGGGAGGGATATCATTTTTCTGCTGTCTGCCAGTCTGGGACTCTTTGGCAGCTTTGGGGCGTCCCTTGAGGGCTGGTCATGGGGGTGTGGCATCCTGGAGGTTGGCTTCTGTGTTCTGCAGCACCAGCAGGTACTTAGCAGTTTGGGGCCCTGAACCTGCGGGCGCCTGTCCCCGAGCAGGAACGGGGTCTGTTCTGGAAAAGCACCCCTGGGAGTGGGGGGAGGGCAGGGCTGGGCGTGGGCTTGCTCTTGGAGTGCAGATCCCATGAGAAGAGGCCAGTGTGCAGCCCAGGCCTTTCCCATGTCCCTTCTGGACCTGTCAGGAGACCATGGGCAGAGGGTATAGGGTGAGCCTTGCTGGCAGAGCGAGATTCCGCTGTGAAGACAGGCCACAGGAGTGCGGCTGGTGTAGCTGGGGCCGCAGCCCCCACGTCCCTCTGCCTGGCTTGCCAGCGTGGTGATGGGAAGAAAGGTCTTCGGGGCCTGTCATCCCCCCACCCCTGGTCCTCCAGGTCGGGCATGGCTGGACTGGGACACTTCCCTTGGAGGCAGGAGGGGGCAAGGCTTGGTTGCCCCCGAACAATGGGGCATGTCCTCAGAAGTGGAGGCTCAGCTCCCCATCTCCCCCCCAACTGCCAGAGCCCCCGGGAACTGGTTTTAACCACCCTGCTGTGGGGGCCAGCATAACCACTCCGTCTCCCCAGCCAGTCCTCCGCTCTCCCAAGTTCATGGCTGTTCTGGTTTCAGACATCCTCCGTAGCTGGGCCTAAATATAACAGGGGTGACCTTGATGTGGCCTTTCCCGAGGTGAGGATGTCCCCTGGGTGTGCTGGCCTGGACGCTGAGCTGAGGCGAGTAGCCAGCTCCAGGCTAGGGGCAGTGGCGGATCAGAAAGTGGCCGAGTGAGATGGGCCTGTGTGGTCTTGGTGCAGGGGCAGGGCGGGGAGGACAGGGGGCCCTGCAGGGAGCAGGGCCCTTGTCAGCTCAGGGGGGGCTTGCGCCTGCAGGAGGGCCCTGGGGGCCAGGCTGGGGTGACCTTGTCCAGCGTCAAGGTCTGGCCCAGCAGCTTTACCGAGCGCTGGAGACCCTGAGAAGCGGCCGGCTGCAGTTTTCACGTCCATCACACCAGCTGAGCCATGTGGCGTCCCCAGACCACCCAGTTAACAAGCAGGAAGCTGGCCAAGAACAGCCGGGGCTATGACTGAGTCCTGGGGGGGGCCCCCTCCCGTGACATCACGGAAGCCTCATGGCGGGTGGAGGGTGGCCAGGCCTGATACATGGTCACCTGATACGGTCTGGCGGGTGGCATTCACTCTTTCCTCGGCTGCTTCTTGGACTGTCTCTTCTTCTTCCCGGGCCTGTTGTCCTGTGCTCAGCACCCGTGGATTGAGCCCCTGGTGGCCAGCTGTCTGATCCGTCACTGCCCCTGGGCAGCCTGTCTGTCTGGGGTGGGTGGGGTCCTGCCCCCTGGAGGCCAGGCCGGCTGGTGCGTCTTTGTCCCGGCCTCCCAGGAGGCGCCCTGCAGTGCACGTCCGCGGCCTGCCCAGCGGCCCCTTTGGCTCTGGTTTCAGGTGGTCTTCGGGAAGACGCTCCCTGCCTTTGCCACCATCCCTCTGCACCAGCTGCAGCACGAGAAGAAATATGACATCTACTTCATGGATGGAAGGGTGTTTGCCCTCTACAGGTGAGAGGACTTCTCGGCCAGGCTCCTGTGGGTCTGTGGGTGCTCTGTGGTGGGACAGATGGACACGCCTCACCCCGCCTGTGCTCCTCACCTCCCTCGGGGCCTGGCGGCTGGTTCCTGTCAGCGGGCTCTCCTGAAATAGGGGGTGTGGCGGGGGAACTCCCGGCTTCTGTGAGGTGTACCGGAGCTGGTGTGAGTCAGGTTCTTCACCTGTAGAGGAAAAACCCCACGAGGGGTATGGTTGTCTTGGGGGTAGCCCCCGTCTTCCAGGTGGGGGGCCGTCTCCTGGCCTGAGGCCTTGTTGGGCTCGGGGCCCGGGCCTGGCACCATCTGACGCAGCAGTCGGGGTGCCCACCCTCCTGGCGCTCGCTCCCAGGGTGTCTGTGGGGTGGGGGGGGGGGGTCCTCGTGCTCCCTGGGGCCGGTGGCGCTGAGTGTCCTGGGGGGGGGCTGGCCCGGTGTCTCCCCAGGCAGCTGCTGCAGCACGAGTGCCCCCGCTGTCCCGAGCGGCCGCCCTTCAGCCTCTTCGGGGACCTGGAGCAGCACATGCGGAAGCAGCATGAGCTGTTCTGCTGCAAGCTCTGCCTCAGGCACCTGCAGGTGAGCCCGCCAGGCTGCCTCCCGGGTCCTCCACCTCACAGAGCCCCGCCGCTGCCCCTAACCCCGCGGGCCACCAGGCAGCTGGGCCCGGGGCAGCACCGAGGCCACCTCAGGCCCTCTGCGCCGTGGGGCCGGGAGGGGCGGGAGGTCGGGGAGCTCGCCCGCGCCCAGCGCCCCTTCCCCGCAGATCTTCACGCATGAGCGGAAGTGGTACTCGCGCAAGGACCTGGCTCGGCACCGCATGCAGGGGGACCCCGACGACACCTCGCACCGCGGACACCCCCTCTGCAAGTTCTGTGACGAGCGCTACCTGGACAACGACGAGCTCCTCAAGCACCTGCGTCGTGACCACTACTTCTGCCACTTCTGCGACGCGGACGGGGCCCAGGACTACTACAGGTGGGCGTAGACGCATGGGGACCCCGGGGCCGGGTGGGCCGGCACAGGCCCCGCTGACGCCCGGCCCCCGCAGCGACTACGCGTACCTGCGTGAGCACTTCCGTGAGAAGCACTTCCTGTGTGAGGAGGGCCGCTGCAGCACCGAGCAGTTCACGCACGCCTTCCGCACCGAGATCGACCTGAAGGCCCACAGGACGGCCTGCCACAGCCGCAGCCGCGCCGAGGCCCGCCAGAACCGCCAGATCGACCTGCAGTTCAGCTACGCGCCCAGGCACTCGCGCCGGAGCGAGGGTGAGCGGGGTCCCCACTGTCTGCGCTCCCTGCAGGGCTCAGACGCAGGCCCTGCACAACCCCTCAGCGTCAGCGGGGACGACGGACACGGCCGTGAGCATGTGGGGGTGGGAGCTCTTCACGCCGCCTGGCTCCCAGGGGGCCTCAGCTCTGCTGTGCGGGGGTCCTTGGGCCTCTTCTTTGGGTCAGGAGGATTACCGAGCACCTGCTGTGTGGGGGTCCCTCCTGGGATGGCAGGGCCAGGAGGCCCAGGCCCCTCTCCCAGCCCAGTTCCTGCTTGACCTGGGGTGTGGGGCGTAGAGCCTCGGGGCCACTGTGACCCCCGAGAGGCGTTTGTGCCTGCCCCTGGGGTCCACGCTGTGGTACACAGGGAGGCCTCTGTGGGGTCCAGCCTGGGCCTGACTGGCTGTGTGCTGGCCGCAGGGGTCATCAGCGGCGAGGACTACGAGGAGCTGGACAGGTACAACCGCCAGGGCCGCACGGGCCGGGCCAGCGGCCGCGGAGCCCAGCAGAGTCGCCGAGGAAGCTGGAGGTACAAGAGGTGGGAGGATTTGCGAGCCGCCAGGACCTCTGTCCCCTAGCTCCACCAGAGGCTGGGGCAGTGTGGACAGCTGGGCTGAGACAGGCGCTGGGTCAGGGAGCTGGGCCTTCTGGCCTCTGTGTCCCGGGCATGGCAACAGGGTCGCTCGGTGTCCTGAGTGGGACATTCTCTTTTCTCCTCTCATTTAATTAGGGATGCCACGACCCTGCAGACTAGGCTGTGAGGGGCCCCGGTCACGGGGGTATAGTGCAGGTGTGCTAGGAGGCCCTCGTGTGACGGGTACATGCTCTGACTGGGCTGCCCCGTGGCCAGCTGGACCGAGGCATCTGCAGTGCCCAGGCACTGCCCCAGAGAACTGGGCTGGGTGTTTCCCTGGCGCCAGAGCCAGAGGTTGGTGGGGCAGTGGTCCTGCTGCCCCCACAGCGCCCTCACCTGGCCGGGGAGGCTGGGCTGGCACCTCCACTGGCTGCTGACAGGCCGGCCTCTGGCGTCTGGGCTTCCCCGGGTGAGGCCCTTCCCCAGTCCTTCACGCTGCGTTGCTGTAGTCCTGGCCTGGCCCAGCCTGAAGGCCTCCCCATTCCAGGGAAGAAGAGGACCGAGAAGTGGCAGCAGCCATCCGGGCCTCAGTGGCCGCCCAGCAGCAGCAGCAGCAGCAGCAGCAGCAGCAGGAAACACGCAGGACTGAGGACCGGGAAGAGGGCGGCAGGCCCAAGAAGGAGGAGGCAGGGCTGCGGGGTCCTGAGGAGGCCCGCGGTCCCCGGCGCCCGGCCCGGACTCCGGGCGAGGGCCCAGGTGAGCAGCTCCCCTGCAGGCAGGCCCACCCTGGCCCGACAGGCAGGACACAGGCTCCTGACAAGGTCGGTGAGAAGCCATGTGCCCTCCAGTTGGTCACCCCGCCAGGCCTGATCCTGCCCCCTCGACACTGCTTAGCCCTGACAAGAGTTCTCGTGCGTCTCGTAGGTCCCAAGGAAGCCTCTGCCAATGGTCCTGTGAACCAGGACACCTTCTCCACCACTGGCCCGGCTGTAGGAGCCACACTCCCAAAGTACACGCATGTGGGGCTTGGGGCTCCTACCGAGGGTTGGGGAGGGTGGGTGCGGGCACCAGGGCTCCTGCGCGGGTGGGGGGTGGGGCAGGCCAGAGCTTGTAGGCAGCTGACCCCTGTCCGCTTTCTGCACAGCGCTCTCCTGCCCCCCGCTTCGAAGCTCAAGGATGAAGACTTCCCCAGTCTCTGTGCCTCCGCTTTGTCCTCAAGCTCCACAGCAGCCGCCCTAGGCCCTGTGGGGCTGGCGCTGGCTTACCCTGTGCCCGCCAGGGGCAGGACCACCTTCCAGGAGGAAGACTTCCCTGCCCTGGTGCCCTCCGCCTCCAAGCCCAGCAGTGCCCCCACCAGCCTCATCTCTGCCTGGAACAGCGGGGCCAGCAAGAAGGTGGCGCATTCTGCCCCGGGCTCCCAGTCCACCAGCGGGGGGAGCCAGCCCCCCAGGAAGTCTGGCAAGGGAGGAAAGGGGGGCAAAAAGGGCGGGCCACCGCCCGCGGAGGAGGTGGAGGAGGATGGCCGTGCAGGCCTCACAGCCCAGGAGCTGCGGAGCGTGCCCACGACAGTCGCCGTCTCCTCCCTGCTGGCTGGGGCTGCCACCCAGACCTTCATCAAGGCCGGCAAGAAGAAGAAGGTGGGCTCCGAGAAGTCAGGTGCCACATCGCCCCCGCCCCCTGACAGAGAGGGGCCCCCTGGGACCGAGCTGGCCCCCACGGCGCCCCCGGGCAGAGCTGAGGGGCCCGCTGCCGTCATCGTCAATGGACACTCAGAGGGGCCGGCCCCAGCTCGGAGCACCCCCAAGGAGCCCCCTGGGCTCCCAAGGCCCCTGGGGCCGCCCCCCTGCCCCACACCCCAGGAAGACTTCCCGGCGCTCTGTGGCCCTTGCCCACCCAGGATGCCCCCACCCCCAGGTAGGTGTGCTGGCCCAGGCCTGCCACGGGGCCCTGGGAAGGGGCTGGGGTAGTGGGGTGAGGCCCAGGGTGGTGCAGGCGGGCAGACGGGCATGTGTAGGCCCTTCCCACTGCCTCGGAGCCTGGTAGCCAGATCTGGATGCAGGCTACAGGTCTGTGAGCCTGTGACCGCGGTCTGCCGTATAGCTCCTCTGTGACCTTTCCTCCTGCAAGTTGGGGCAGTCCTGGCAGCCTCTTGAGATGAGGACAGAGTAGTTAACTCAGGCCAAGATTTGCCATGAGGGAGCACAACATGTGTGCTGGCCCTTGGCGTCGTCAGCATCAGCGGGCCCTGGACCCACTCTGTGGGGAGGGGCTGCTCTGTGGGGAGGAGCAGTGGGGCCAGAGCCTGACTGTGACCCCGGCGGGAGGGGGGGCGGCGTGTGGAAAGTGGGGACTGGGGCCCGCCTGTGCCTGACCAGTGAGATCACGTCCTGGGACCTTCCCGTTCACCCCACGCCCCGCAGGCTTCAACGCCGTGGTGCTCCTGAAGGGCACTCCGCCTCCGCCGGGCCTGGCGCCCCCTGTCAGCAAGCCACCCCCCGGCTTCTCCAGCCTTCCGTCTAGCCCCCACCCGGCCTGTGTCCCCAGCACTACGACCACCACGAAAGCGTAAGTGTGGGCAGGCTCCTGACCCCATGCCCCCGGGGGAGAGTGCCTTCAGCTTGGGCCTCCCCAAAGGCAGAAGCCTCCACTTCCTTCCAATTCAGACCCAGGCCGACGCCCGTGCCCCGGGCCTACCTGGTCCCCGAGAACTTCCGGGAGAGGAACCTGCAGCTCATCCAGTCCATCAGGGACTTCCTGCAGAGCGACGAGGCCCGCTTCAGCAAATTCAAGAGCTACTCGGGGGAGTTCAGACAGGTCAGGCAGGCAGGGGTGCGGGGGCCGGCCCGGCCACTGGGGCCCAGGCCGGGGCTGGGCGTGACTGGGTCTGCTCTGGCTGGCAGGGCGTGATCTCCGCAGCCCAGTATTACAAGAGCTGCCGGGACCTGCTGGGGGAGAACTTCGAGAAGATCTTCAACGAGCTACTGGTGCTGCTGCCCGACACGGCCAAGCAGCAGGAGCTGCTGTTGGCGCACACGGACTTCCGGGGCCGCGAGAAGCCTCCCGGCACAAAGGCCAAGAAGAATAGGAAGAGCGCATGGCAGGCCAGCACCCGGCAGGTGGGCCTGGACTGTTGCGTGTGCCCCACTTGCCAGCAGGTGCTGGCGCATGGCGATGTGGGCAGCCACCAGGCGCTGCACGCCGCCCGGGACGATGACTTCCCCTCCCTGCAGGCCCTCGCCAGGATCCTCACGTAGCTCTGATGTAGCTCCCGCCAGCGCAGGCAGGAGCCACCACCCCCATGAGCCTCCCTTTTCCCTGTCCCCACCCCCAGGCAGCCAGTGAGGCCACCTACTCAGGCCCCTCAGTTGGCTGGCTCTCCGGGGATCACCGGGAAGGCCCGCTGCAACCTGCCGTCACACCCTCGTGGGGGATCCCTCTGGATTCCTCCTGGAAACTAGAGACACCCCTGCCGCAGCAGCAGGCTGCTCTGGGTTTACGTTCTCATGCCTCCGGAGGGCACCGGGGAGGGAAGGGCCAGGTGCCGGGACCTGTGTGTGCTGTCAGGGCTGGTGGCCACGGTGGCCCGGCCACAGTGGCCCCTTCCCGGAGCCCCTGAGCCCAAAGGCTGCAGCACCACGGTCCCTGAGCCAGAGTCCATGGGTGCTGGAGTCAGATGTTGAGTGCGATGTGTAAACAGTTGGCTGTTTCGTGACTAAAGAACGTTCAGGATTAAAAGACACAAAATTGTGCTACTTGAAGTTGAATCTTTTTATGAGACTAGCTGAATCTGGGATCTCCAATTGCCTCTGAACTTTTTAAGACAGTTTATCTTCAAATAAATTTATTTTGCAATAATGCACATAGCTGGTGTTCTGAGCTTCTCTGCCTTCCGAGGTCACCCTACTCAGAGTGTTCAGACACTACAGCTCAGGTGGTCTCAGGGAGTACTGTGGGCTGGGGGTAGGGGGCCTGTGGGGAGAGGGAGGCAGCTAGGCTCTGCTCGCAGGAAGAAGCAGCTGACCCTGGGCCCGGGTCTTGGAGGTCAAGCACCGCCCAAGCCCTCCAGGAGCAGAGCCAGCCATGCTTGACCTACACTGTGTACCCAGTAAAACTGTCCTTCCAGAACCCAGGAGTCACACAGACCCAAGGTTTACATCCACAGACCACTGAGAGAGCTTCTAAAGTAAACTCTGGCAGGAACAATTTAGAAACAGATCCAGTATTTTGGAAAGGAACCAGGCATGTGCTGAAATCTCCCCATTCTGCCACAAACACATATAAATAGTAGGAAGCAAGATCTAAACACATAGCCACCTCCAAATGAGGCAATATCCTTACTTGAGAAGAAATGGAGATATCTTTCTAAAAGAAGCAGAAGGGGGTGGGCATTGCCTGTCTGAACCCGAGGGCCTACCTACCTATGGTGAGACTGGAGCAAGTTTCTGGGTGATGGCTGAGCTTTGGCGCCTGCTAGGAATCAAAGCCGTCACCCTCTTCACTCTCCATAGGGCTGCGAGGAGGCCACCTGCGTTCCCTATCACACGGAAGAAGCCCTTCATAGCTGATGCCCTCTGCAGACCTGAGCACAAGCCAACACCCTCAAAGAGTAACCTGGAAGATGGGCTATCTCACTCATACTAAAAACGCTGATTCTTAAAGAACCAAGGGCCATAACAATACCAGGCAACATAGCCTGAAGACAAGCACTACTCTGAGCTCTTAACACAAGTTTATGTTAACACCTACTGCACCTTAGAAACTACTACACCTACTGCAAGGAGATCAAAACAGTCCATCCTAAAGGAAATCAGTTCTGAATATTCACTGGAAGGACTGATGCTAAAGCTGAAGTTCCAATACTCGCCCACCTGATGAGAAGAACTAACTCACTGGAAAAGACCCTGATGATGGGAAAGATTGAAGGCGGGAGAAGGGGATGACAGAGGATAAGATGGTTGGATGGCATCACCGACTCGATGCACATGAATTTGAGTAAGCTCCGGGAGTTGGAGATGGACAGGGAGGCCTGGTATGCTACAGTCCATGGGGTCTCAAAGCATCGGACATGACTGAGTGACTGAACTGAACTGAACTGCACCTTTGACCATGGGAACTGCTCTTCTCTGGAAGGGTACAAGTTGAGACCAAGCTCGAACATGGCCAAGCCAGAACCCCAGCCCTAGCTCCTGCCTGCTTCCTTGAATCAATTAGAAGGTTGTTAACCAGTAAGAAATGAAAAAGTAACTGAAATAAAACTCCCAAAAGACAAATTCAAAAGTCAACAAGACCACGCTGGGGACATCTCCGAAGGGGAGCTGGCCATGGAACGTGGCTCTGGACACTGCATGGTATACAGGGCAGGGGTCTCAGGAACAGGAGGTGGTAAGAAGGGGACATCTGGAGAAATCTGGATGGGTTTCCCTAGCACTCTCCAGAACAGGGGCATCAGCCCTTCTGGATTTGGGGCCCTGGTGCTCCTCGGGTCCCAATCTCTGGTACTGGAGGGACAGGAGTGGAAAGGTCACAGTAAACTCATTTACAGTCTTTATTGTAAAGAAGTTGCAGTTGGAACATGGGACACTGAAAATACACAATCACTGATTGTTCTTTCAGAAGAGGGAGGGGAGAGATCCATATATACAAAAATTGTAAACATGTTCACTTAAATATCCACAAATAATCGGTCTATGCTACAATGTACAGGGTTGTCACTCAACTGCAACTCCTGAGGGAGGCATCTGTCTGTAAGAATGAATGTGGCAACCGCATTTGGTATTGACTTAATGTGAAAAGCCAGCTTTGAGCAATGCATGAGTACTCAGCTATGCAGAGGGACCCCCCACACACACACCTCGGGCTGGGCCTTAAAGTGGGGTGCAGTGTGGGGAGTTGGACTAGTCGAGGAGGCCTAGGTAACAGGGTTTGCAGGGAATGGCCATCTCCAGGGCATGGTGGGCAGGTGGAGCCTCGAGGCCTCTCCTCGTGGGGGACGTGTCCTGCAGGCACCCAGTGTCCGGAGCCTCCCTGGGGCAAGGTCTTACTGAAAGGCTGCGAGAGAGCCGATGCTCAGGCCTACAGCCACGTTGTGCTTTTCTGGCCAGAGCTGCCCGCACCCCAGCAGGGGCCTGGGCCGAGGCAGGTAAGGGCTGGAGCTGGGGCCACAGACAGAGGGGCTGCTTGTGAGGAACTACAAGGTGAAACCTTTAGACTTGACCACAATCACAACATCCACAGGGCCGGGCTACTCTAGTGTGCCTGTGAGAGGAAATGGGGGCGGCTCCAGGCAGAGCAGGGGGCCCCACAGGGTGAGGCACAGGGCAAAGCGAGGACCACCAATATCCACGGGGACAGGGGGTGGAGAACTGGCCACGCTCGCCGAGCCACGGGGTGAGGGCGGTGTCCCTTCCCCCAGGCACCCCGAGTCCAGGGCAGCCCCCGCACCCGGCTATGGAGGGCAGCTGGACCTCTGACCCCGGAGTGGGCAGGTGAGCCCTGGCTGGCTCACGAGGGGAATGGCCCCCTGCCAGGCTGGTCTACTGGAGGCTGGAGGACACATGCCCAGGGCCATGATGCTCCCTCCTCAGGACCTCTGGACCTGAGCTGGGGACTAAGGGGACTGGAGGAACTTGGGGGGCACAGCCCAGGCACCCTGGAGGCCACCTTCTCTTGGCCCCAGATGACCCACAGCATCCACTCCCTGCTGCTGGACCGGGAGGACCTGAGGGAGGCCCCAGGAGGCCTTGGACCCTGCATGGGTGGGGCAGCCTTTGCGCCTTGGTCTGGGCCTGCTGGCCTCTAGTAGGCAGGGACCTGGTACCCTTTGGGGCTGGTGTCCAGGGTCTCGGTGAAGGGCGGGCTCTGGTAGGTCTCCGTGCCTTCCACACCGCTGCCTACCGGGTACCCCGGGTAGGTCTGGCCCGCCCCAGCACCCAGCTGCTCGGTGGCAAAGAGCGACATGTCGGTGCCCAGACGGAACCGCTGCAAGGCCTTCACGGTAAGCGCCACCTGAGAGGGAGTCCGGGGTTAGCCAGGGCTGACCCTGCCCGGACCCTACCGGAGCCCCAGCCCAGCCGCCAGCCGGCCGCACTCACCCAGCTGAGGATGGAGAAGAAGCTGAAGGTGATGGCGGCGCGCGCCGCGTCCCCCGCCTGCGCCGTGCCCGGCCCGGGCTCCGTGCGCTGCCACTGGTTGGTGAGGAAACAAAAGCCCACGAACCACAAGAAGGACCAGAGGCCTGCGGGACGGCGGACGGGCAGATCGGGGGGCGCTCCACGCAGGCGCCGGGCCCGAACAGGAAGGAGACCCGCCCCCCGGGCCTGTCCCCGCCCACTCATTGAGAACCGCGCTCCTGTCCCCGCCCAATCCCGCCCACCCGGAAGCGCCGCGGCCGGGCCCCGCCCCCGCCCGGGCCCGCCCCAGCCCCGCCCACCTGAGAAGCCCAGGTCGAGCAGCACCGCGCGGCGCCGGTCGCGAATGCTGCTGATCTGCTGGAAGCGCACGTCGAGCAGCAGGAAACCGGCGCAGGCAAGGAAGGCCCCGAGGCCGAGCGCGACTCCGAAGCGGCAGGCGCCCGCGTTGCCGTTGAAGATGCAGCGTAGCTCTGGGCCGCTGTCGGCGTTCACGTAGCCCTCGTTGACGATGGGCCCGAAGACAGCGATGGAGAACACCTGCGGGCGGCGGCGGGAGGCGCTCAGGGCCCTGCGGTGCCCCTTAGGTCTCCTAGCCCACCGTGAGCGCCGACGGGCCCCTGAAGCCCAGGATCCATCTCTTGGGGGGGGGGAATGTCTTCAAGGACCCCTCTCTTAGTACCTACCTCAGGTGTAGCAACTATAGACAAAGCCTTTAGTGAGGATCTACTGTGCACTGTGCTTAAAATGGCTACATGCCTTATTAGCGCATGGAATTCTCCGAAACAACCGCGAAGGTGCCATGGTTCTTATCTGCTTTGTAGATAGGGAGCTCGGGGCTCCAGCAGGTGAAGTGACTTGTCCAGGGTCACATGGTTGGTAACAGCCAGGGCTGGCATTCAAGCTGTGTCCTCTGTACCTTGTGGAGCCCGAAGTGTCTCCCATGGCCCACTCCAGAGCGTGGGGACAGGAACTGTGACCCCCCCCAGTGACCTCCCCACTGTAGATGTGGAGTGGGGAGAGAGGGGGCATGGGGCGCACAGCAGAGGGACAGCTGCACAGAGCTGTCAGCCAGGACCTCAGTGCACCCTGCCTTCAGCATGCCCGAGCTGTGCAGTCTTGTTTCCCAGCATGCCAAATGTAGCAGGCACGACTCATGGGGTGGTTGGGTCAGAAATAATGCCCACCCAGCATCCTGCACTTTGTGGGCACTCCAGTCTGGGATTAATAATCAGTACCATCCATGAGTTCTGGGGTTCAGTCAGACCTCAGTGCCCTGTGGCTGGAAGGCAAGGGAGGTGGTGTTAAGAGTTAGTCCCTCAGTCATGTCTGACTCTTTGCAACCCCATGGACTGTAGCCACAGTCCTTTTAAACCAGATGCTGCTCTAGGAGCCCTGGGCAGCCAACTGTTTCTAAAAAAAGAAAAGACCTCGAATTTCTACTTCATTTTTCTCCTTTCCTGCCCCAGCTCCTAGAGGCTAAGAGGGAAACCAAAGTGCAAGATACGGACATGTACCCCCGGATTGGTCCACCAGTTGGGTCAGAGCTGGAACCAGAACGTAGGGTCCCTAGTATCTGGTCTAACCAGAGTCACTCCACTCCAGGGCCCCTGCCCCACCCTGAGCATCACCCTCCTGGAAGACAGGTGAGTAGATGCCAGCACCAGCTGCCTGCAGGTGGGCACAACCCAGAACTTGGCATTCCACCTTCTGTGTCTCCTACCTGGACGGATGGGAAAGAGGAGCAGGGCACTGGGCCTAGGGTTGCTCCAGCGGGCTAGGCTACACCAAATCTGCCCCTCCCACACCACCTCCAGGAAGCCCTCCCAGTGCAGAGCCCCTTCCAGCTGCCCCACGCAGAGGAATCCCGAAGCACCCCCACCCCCAACTCACGGTTGCAACTGGGGGGCCTGAGAAGGGCCAGTTCCCTTCGAAGGAGCCGGGAGGATGTGCGCGCAGGAGAAGCAAGGGGGAGGCTCGGCCAGATTCTCTCGGTTCCGGTAGCCTCTCCTCGTGCTGAGGCTGAGCGCCCAAACCCTCCGTGAATCCCGTCCCCACCCCTGTGCCCGTTTCCAGGCGTGAACACAGGAAAAACGGAGCGAGGGCTGAGGAAGGGCACTGAATTAGACCTAAGGAAGAACTGGGAGGTGGGTGCGGAGGGTGGTGACCTCTCAAGGTCCCCGGCTGTCGCCGCCGGCCCCTCCCCCGCCGGCAGGTGGGCGCACCCAGCCCGGTGACGTCACCCTAACCTGCGGCCGGGGGGGAAGGGCCGGCGTGGATGGGGAAGGGGCGAAGGGCAGGGGAGAGGCGCAGGTGTTCGGGATGCGGGAGACGAGGCGAAGTGGGAGCGGGTATCGGGGCGGGGGCTGGGGTCGGCCACTCACCCAGGATGCGACCCGCAGCAGGGTCTGGGGCCGCCGCGCGAAGCTCACAGGGTCCAGGGCTGCCCCCGCGCGTCCCGCGCCGAACGAGCCTCCCTCCATGGTCAGCCTGGGCGGGCCGCGCGCCCCCGGGGCCCTCTGTCCGCCTATCCGTCGGGCCGGCCCCGCCCGAGGCCGCCCGGGGATGTTGCGAGTGCTGATGCTGCTGGTGCGGCCAGTGCTGCCGCCGCCGCCGCCTTTCGGGAGCGCGCGCCCGCTGCGGCGGGGACGCGCGGGGCGGCACCGAGACCGCGCCCCCACCCTGGTCCACGCGCGCAGGGCTGGAGCCCTCACCTCCCTCCGCCCCGCCCACTTTCCACCCCGATTGGCACCACAGGACCACCCCACCCGCCAGAAGACCACTCCACCCGCCAGGTCCCCACCAGGAGGCAAGGTCAAGGAGCCGAGTGCCCCCACCCCACAAGTAGTCCGGAGTCAGCAGGCCCCGCAGACTTTGCGGTAGCCAGGCGGATGGACGGACCGCTGTGACCCTGCTCCTCCGAACAGGGCCCTTTGCTGAGTATACAAGGAGGTAACAAACCCAGGGTTCCAGCGTCTCTCCCCAGCCCTCAGAGAAAGGGAACCCAGCTTTCTTGAGTCCCCCTTCTCCTTCAGAGGATTCTAGCCTCCCTAACAGGGTGGGGCACTTCTGCCCTCAGGGCACCGCCCAGGCAGGCAGAGCCCAGAGGTTGGCCGGGTGGGAGGTGGGGCGTCTCTGCTCTTATCCTGTAGCTGGATCTGGTCCTGCGGAGGGTGCCCACTGAGCCCCCTCCACACTCCTGGGTCTCCCTAGCTGACTTTTGGCAGACAGTTTGGGGCGAAGCATTGGAGATGGGGAGTTTGGCAGAGCGAGTGCCTGGCTCCCTTGCACACCTGCTGGGTTTCTTCCAGAGATCACCCAGCTTGGGGTTGGACAGGGTCCCTTCCTTCATGATCCTTCCAGGGAGCTGGGCAGGGGCCCAGGTGATGCTTGTTTCTGCCCAGGACATTTGAGGAAAGTCCACATTCCTTGAGCGCTGATAGTGTCTGGGGTTCCACCACCCTCTGTGCAGGAGGGGACTCTTTTACCCCCTCTTTCTTCAGATGGTAAATAGCCAGTCTGGGAGTTTCCTGGCTGTCCAGTGGTTAGGACTCAACACTTTCTCTGCCAAGGCTGGGTTTGATCCCTGGTCAGGGAACTAGTGAGATCGCATAAGCTATGCAACGTGACCAAGTTTAAAAAAAACAACAACACTGGTTTAGTTCCTTGATCACAGAACGTGAAGAGCCGGGATTGAAACCCAGGTCACTACCGTGCCAGGACAGATGATGCCAGTTTCTATCCAGGACATTGGGGAAAGGTGTGACCTGGTTGACTCGATGCTTTGTATATCCAGTCCCATACTTTTCACCTGTCAGCAACAGTTCCGTCTCATCCATCATTCATTTCCCCTTTTACTTGATTGGTTACATCGGTGCCTAAACCTGCTACTGCCTTCCACTCCTGAACCCTCTTCCCTCCAGCTGTCACTGCTCCTTTTAGTCCCAGGGGCAATTCAGGCATTGCCATCCTTTTCCCATCCTCCTGGGAACACTTCCGACGTCACCCTCTCCTCCTACTTCCTACTTCATGGGCCCTTTCTTATCGCTTTCTCTTGTTCTTCCTGTGACCTTTGAGCTTAGGAGTCCCTGTGTCTGGTCCTGGGGCTCTTCTCCCTGCTCTGTGCTCCCTCTCTTGGTCTCCATGCTCACAGCTTGAGCCAGGACTTTCCCTTGAACTTGAGTCCCTCTTGTCTTAGCCTGGAAATCAGAATCTGCTGCAAAGTTAAGAGTTTTATTGGGAGTTTTATTGCCTTTGAGGAAGGCAGAGTTAGGGAAGAAGGGAAGTGAGGCAGGGAAGGGGGGAGAGCCAACATGGAAGGCGTGGTCCTGAGCTGACCACAGCCCTGCTGGCTCCCAGCATGCAGGTCCCCCTGTGCTGGGGGTGTCCATCGGTGTACCAAAGAGCAGTGAGTTATCCACCAGTTGCCCTTATTTCTTTGTGTCACCTGGCTCCTCTGGGCAGCCCTTGTGGAAGCCAGCACCCCTGTAGGGCCAGTGTGGTGAAGATGCCGACGTGCTAAAGGCTGGCTCTTGCCCAGTTAGGGGCTGAGACACCCTAGGGAGAGGTGACCAGAGCTTTATGGTCACAGGGGTGGGGCACACTGTTGCTGAGCCATTCCAGCTGGGAGCCAAGCTCTGGGAATGGGTGTGGATGAGAGGATCTGGGAAGGCCCTAAAGCTGGGTCCAGGCAGGTCACCCCCAAACCTGCTCCACTCATAGCCTTCTGCATCTCACTGACACACTGGGCAACTGCCTTCTTCCAGTGGCTTGGGCCAGCACTCCATAGTCATCCTGGACTCCACCTTCAATCCAGTGATGCCTCCCACCCACCCTGGGGCGAGCTTCCCTCTCAGCTGCTGCGTAGTAGGTGTCCATCCTCCCTCCTCTTGGCCACCCCTGCCACATTCCAGCTAAAGTCACACCTTGCTGTCCCTCTGCTCCAGATCCTCCACGATGCATGTTTGGTCAGAGCTGGGTGTTAGAACCACATCCTTACTGGGGCGTTGAGGACCTTCGGTCATTCAATCTCCCCTCCTCTGATCCTTTCTCCCTCGGCTCCAGCAACTCAGCCTCCTGTTCCTCAATATCCTAGCCCACCCTTGCCTTGGAAAAGCCCCCTTTTCCTGGGGAACCAGAACCCAGATAAGGAAGCAGCAGATTGCAGAGGGATGCAGGAAGCAGGCCTGTCTGCTATTGCAAGTCTCAGCACAAAACACACTGAAGCCAGGACTTCGGTCACTTCTCCAGCATTTTATTTTGGTCTCAAGTTCCATGGAACCTGTAAGGCCAGAGGCTGGACCGGAGGCGAGCAGCAGAGCTCGGCCCATAGGCCTCTTTCCTGACGTGCAAACAGTGCACAGCCTCTGGGGCTACAGTCACTATCCCCTGCTGTCCCTCACTACACGATGGGGAGACACAGGCCAGGCCTGGAGGGGCAAGACGGGCAGTACCCAGCCAGGCCTGTGGGCTTCCTGTGTGGAGAAGCAGGCGGTGGGGTGGGTGAGCAGAGGCCGAATCCTGAAGGGAAGGGACGTCCTGGGCTGTCCCTGCCTCCCCCGTCAGCAGCCCTGCGGGCCCGCCGTGAAGAGGCCACCACCGCATCGGGTTCCTCCACTTCTTCCCCGAACCTCAGAGGGAGAGGGTTCCAAGGGCAGGGTCTGGGGACCACCCAACGGAGACACCACAGGCTCTGTGTGTGACGGCACTTTAATAAGCCCCGCCCCTCTGGCCGGGCCTCCCCAGGCTCTGGCCGCTGGCTAGTCACAGGAGCCGTCCTTCCAGCCGTCGCGCCAGCGCTCGTCCACCAGTGAGCAGTCGAAGTCCGGCTTGCCCAGCTTGCGGTTCACCTCGTTGTGCAGACGGCAGAGCCACTGGGTGAAGCTCATCCGAGTGCGCGTGTCTGGCTGGTCCCTGTATATCCTGCGTGAGGGGGAGCACGTGCAGGAGGGGGCAGGCGGTGCTCCCAGCGTGCCTGCCCCACCATCTCCTGGCCTGCTCAATCCAGGGAGGAGAGCTGGGGCCTAGACCCTGGGGTGCCCTCATGCTCTGAGGAATTCCCAGAAGGGGGCTGACCCTCCAGCCTCAAGGCCCGGTGGACTCTTAGACCTGCTCCAACCCGTACGTAGGGCACGTGGCAAACCCTGACAAGCGCCCTGGGCAAGACATTAAGAGACAAGGTCTCCACTTTACAACCTCATAACAATCAGGAGGACTCACCCCAGCGTCCCTGGCCCCAGGCAGTGTGTAGAAGGGCGGGGCTGGCATAAAGGCCTACCTGAAAACCAGGTCTGCTTCTTTGGCCCTGCCACACCACCTCAGCAAGAGACCTCATAAGTAAATGCCCAGGCTCTAAACAGCAAGGGCTGCCCTTTCCCCCACTGCCAGCCCAGAAATGCTTATGGCTGCCAAACAACAGTCCTTGGGTTCCCCAAAAAGGCGGCTCTTGGAAGCAAAAGCAGGAGAGTTCCCAAGGCCTTGAAACTGAAGGCCCTGCTCCAGAAGTTAGGCACATGTCCCCAGAAACCTGCCAGAGGCTTCATCAGTGCTAAGCAAGGGATCTCATGAGAGTAGCCCTCCCTGGGAGTGAGCTCCGTGGCTGCAAAAAGCAGCAGCCCCCAGCAGCAGCCCCAGGCCTGGCCTTTGAGGAGAAAGGCAATGGCTCTGGAATCCCTCCGTTGTTGGTGGTCCCTGCTCTCGGCAACCCGCTGCCACCTCGGCCTCTACTTCTCTAGGCTCCCCTTTATGACATCTACCAGGGGCCCCAGACCCAGGCTGCACACCCTGCAGACACGACTCACCTTTTCCTTATGTCTTCGGCACACTCTTCACATGGGTAAAACTTGGAAAATAAATGTATGAACTGAGCCATATCCTGCTGCTGCTCTGGGGTGGGCAGGTCGGGGTAGTAGGCAGCCAGGGTGTGGAGGACAGCCCAGCTGTGGCGGCCCAGTTCCTCGCGATCCTGAGGGCAATCCTCCCTAAACTTGCTGTCCCGCTGTGGAAGGAGGCCGACCAAGGATCAGTTCGGTTTTCCCCGACCAGAAACCTACAAAACTCCCCTTTTTTTCCGCCCCAGCCGGAGACCCATTGACCGGAGACAGAAGTCCTGGGGCCGATCCAGCCCACACGTGGCCAACAGCCGCAAGGCCGGGCCTATCTTGGGGGCACGGTTAGGAAGCGCCGACCCCAGGGGAGGGGACGGGCAGCCTGTCCGGGGTGCCCGAGGACAAGGTGTGGGGGCCCCCCTGCGCTTGCACCTTCTGCTGCGTGCGCATCCACGACTTGAAGTCCAAGCAGGCCCGGCAGGGCCGCCGCGGGGAGGCGAGCTCCGAGGCCGGAGGGTCGGACGCCGGCCCCGCGGATGGCGCCCAGGCCGAAGCAGCGGATTCTCTCCGCCCCGCGCCGCGGCCGCGCGCGTCCGTCACCAGGTCGTCCGTCACTTCGGAGCGCGCGCCGCCGGGCAGGAAAGAGAAGAGGCTCCCGGCGCCGAAACGGCAGCGCTCGCTGGGCGCCGCCATGCCGCCCGCGCAGTGCCTGCCGGGCCAGCGCGTCCTCCACACCGGCAACCAGGTCGGTCTCCAGGCCAGCGCGCGCGCCGCCGCCAGAGCGCGGCCGCAGGAGCCGGGCACGCGCGCCGCGGGCGCGGAGCTGGGCCCGGGGGCGGGGCCCGACGCGGGGGCGGGGCTGGCGGCCCGGGTCCGCGCCCCGGGAGTTGCAGGAGTGCGGGATGGGGACGCGCCGGAGGCCCGAGCCGCGGTTGTCGCGGCGCCCGAGCCCCGAGTCCTAGCCTCCCCCTTGGGCCTCGTTCCAGGTCCCGAGCCAGTCTTGTGTCGGCCGTGGCGGTGCTCCCCCTTCCTCCAGTAGAAGACCAGCGTGCTGTGGACGACGCGCCGTGGGCGCGACGCGGCTTCGGGCTGTGGCCTCTTGGACCTCCGTGTTGCGGCCCGCGACGCCCCCATCGCTCCGCTCCGACCGTCTCGCGTGCCTGCGGCTTGGCTCTGTGCCCTCCGCTGGGGGCGCGCCCGGGGCCAGGTGCCTGGCCCCTGGGCAATGCGGGGCGGGGCTGTGAGCGCACACAGGGCAGTGCGGCTGCGGGCTTGGCGAGTCCGCCTAGGCGACCGGCGCCATGGCAACGGGCGCCCGCCTAGGCTGGGAAGGTCGTGCCTGCAGAGGAGGAGGTGCGTCTCTGGACTCCGGGGAGCACTGAGCAGCCCCTCTCCTCTGCTCAGTCCCACAGCCTATCTGAAGGGGTTAAACCCAGGTGGGGCGTGGCCTCAGGGATACCACTGCTTCCAAATGTATTAATTCCATATGTATATTAACATGTACATTAATTCATTCTGCAAATACCTGTGTAGTGCCTAATGTGTCCTTAGCACTGCTCTAGGCTCTGGACAGGGCAAGAAGCAAGATTCGTTCCTCCTTGACCTCCTCAGCCCATAGTCTAGTGGTCAAGATGGAAAAAACAAGAGTCACACTAAGTGTGTAGGTACAAGCTGTGATGGAGGCTGTGAACAGGGTGTGTTAAATCTAGGAGGCCTCCTTGAGGAGTTGACCCTTAGGAAGAGAGGCCTGAAGAATGAGAAATCAGCTGAGGAGGGTAGTCAGAGCCAATGTAGGAGGGAGGAGTAGCTTGACTTCCTGCAAGGGCAGAAAGGCTAATGTGGGACAGGACCTGGGAAGGGTGGTGTGAGCAGAGGTCCTGAGGCGGCCAAGGGCCCACTGAGGACACCATCGACTGCCCCAGGAGCTGAGGATGTATGCTGAGGACCCTGGGATGGTGCTGGGAAGTTTGGGGCAGGGTACCCTGGCCTGATCCCATTTTGGTTTTGCATAGTTTCCTCTGGAGAGTGGATTTCACGGCAGCAAGTGAGGACCACAGGCTTTGCGGGGGGGGGCATGGAGCTGTTTTAGTGGTCCAGGTGAGAGGTGAGGGAGGGGGTGTGGAGAGGATCTCGGTTGCTGGGAGTGGGGAACACGGGGCTGTCAGCAGTGTAGGGAGGGGCCGCAACATCCTTCTAGGTCTCTGGCTGTGAGCGGACTGGCCCTTCTCCAACTTCACTATGTTCCAAGGGAGCTGGAGCCGTCCCATTCTGTACCCTACCGGGCCAGCGGCCCCCACTGAGATTGGCAAGAGTGTGGCAGCTGGACAGAAGGCACTTTGCAAAAATCAGGCCTGCATCCACAGGTGTTCATTGCCTGGGCCAAGACCAGGGGAAGTTTGAAGGCTTCAGAGCACGCCTCTGGCTGGACAGATGCACAAAGGCCTTTTGTCAGGCCCGGGTGGCTTCCTGACCCCTCCCTCATGGAGGGCTTGGGTGGAGGGGCTGGGACTGAGGCTCTTCTGCCAGAGTGGGACTGAGGGAGGAGGGGAAGGGCCATCGGAGTGCCGCCAGGCTAGCTACCCCTCCCGGCTCTCTGAGCTGTGGGCGGGGGAAGGAAGATCCCCCGTGCTCCAGGTTTGGATGGGCTCTCCTCTGCCCTATGAGGCGGTGGTTCCGAGATGTGGGCCCCTGGGCGCAACGTCTGTCTGGGGATTCTAGGGCCTTCCCTTCACCGCCCCAGCTCGTGGGGGCAGGGTCACTTCAGACCTCAGAGGCTGTGTCTGCAGCATACTGTGATAAAACCATGAATTCAGAGGGGATTCTCAGAACAGTCTTAGCCATTCCCAATTCCACCTCACCATTCCCAATGCCAGTGACTAGAGATGGACCCTCTTCATCCTGCTGCAAGCCCCTCCACCACAGCGGGACCTGTGGGGTGAGCCCGTGAGGTCTGCCTCTCCCCAGCAGATGGGAGAAACCCTGACAGTAACTGTTTAACAGATTTCCTCCTCTGCCATTTGGGGACATCAAGAGACCTTTCTTCCAAAGTGAGGATTAAGCCAAACAAAGCACTTAGAGCCTTTAACACTTTCCTGGTGACGACTGCAGTCAGCTCAGGGACAGAGCCAGGGGCACACCAGGCCACTGGGCAGCTCTGCCCAGCCTGGGCACTAGCCCAGGGCATGGCAAGCCAGGAGGGGCGGCCTGGCGGCTCTCTAACTGCCCTTCCTTCTCCTCCTCCCCTCAGGCTCACTCTGGTAGGAGGGCCTCCACCCTGCAAGCCCTGTGCCCCTGCCTCCCCAGGTGAGGGGCGTGGTGAGGAAGCGGGGAAAGCCCCAGTCAAGGGCAGGGGAGTGCAGCCAGGGCTGGGGTGCTGCTGGGGAATTCCAGCCTTCCGGGTGCCCAAGGCCTCCCCTCCTCCCCACATAGGCAGGGCGGTAGTGGGACCCGGGGTCACACCCAGCAGACTCCACAAGCCCGTCACGGACATCTGGGGAGGTCACCAGGATGGCGGGAGCCCGGCACCCGGTGTGTGTGAGGGGGGCAGCTCTGGTGCAGACAGAGAGGCTCCAGGTAGGAGTGTGTGGGACCCCTGCCAGCCCGAGAGGAGGTGGGGGAGCTCCTGGCCCAGTGCCTCCAAGATGCCCCTGACCTTCCCCCAGCAGATGTTCGCCTTCTCTGTGTGCTGGTCGGATGACAGCGACAGCTTCGTACGCAGAAGCTGGGAGGACTTCAGGAGACTCCACGTGAGTAAGCCTGGTCACCCAACTTCCCCCAGCAGCCTGACCCACCTGAAATCACCCCCGGCTTGCCCTTGTGCCCACTCGGGCTTTCAGCTAAGGGACCCCTGCCTGCTGTCCCAGGGGAACCTAGTGGGCCCTCGGAGACCGATGATGCCTCTTCTCACTCTCAGAAAACCCTCAAGGAGACCTTCCCAGTGGAGGCAGGCCTGTTGCGGAGATCTGACCGCCTTCTCCCCAAGCTCCCAGGTCAGGGCAGCAGGGATCCCAGGAGGGCGGGGGCGGCAGTGGTGGGATGTGAGGGGCCGGGCGGGGCTCCCACAGCCGCCCCGTCCTACCGACAGCCGACGCACCCTGGCTGGTGCACCGAGGCCGCACCAGCCGAGGCCTGGCCCGCCTGCAGCTGCTGGAGGCCTACCTGAGGGCGCTGCTGGCAGCAGGGGAGCATGTGTCCCGCAGCCTGGTGCTCACTGGCTTCCTCGCGCCACAAGCTGCGGACTTGGATCCTATGCTGCCACCTGGCAGGTGCCTGCCCTGAGGATGGGGGAGGCGTGGTGGGGAAGGGCCCACAAGCGGGGAGACTTGGAGGCCGGACGGGTGTGTGGCAGACACTTGACACCTCTCCCCTTCACCCTGGGCCCTCACCAGCCTGGTGATCCTGCCCACCCTGCAAGAGCCCCCGCCAGGCCCCTCAGGCAGCCCTGCCATCCGCGCCCTGGAGGCCCAGAGCCTGCGCTGCCTGCAGCCGTTCAGCACCCAGGACACGCGGGGCCAGCCCTTCTGCACTCAGGCCCAGGAGGCCCTGGATGTGCTGCTACGACACCCCTCAGGTGGGCTGGGCAGTTGGAGGGACATGCCGTCCTGCCCCTGGGATCCCAGTGGGCTGCAGAACTGAAGCCCTTGCCCGTCCCCCTCTCGGGCACAGGCTGGTGGCTGGTGGTGAACAAGGACCAGCAGACGGCGTGGTTTCCTGCTCCCTACTTGGAGGAGGCGGCCCCACACCGGGGACAGGGTGGGGGACAGCCCCTGGGGATAAGCGGTGAGAATGACCCTCCTCCCCACACCTCTGCTTTCACAAGGCAGCGTCCAGCACAAGCTGGGGAGGGAGGCCCTGCCAGCGTGTGCTTGGTCTCAGAGCAAGCCAGAGCCCGCTGGGCTTTAGAAGCGGTCTCTGGTATTGAGAGAGAAGAATAGGGGTGCCCCGAGGGGGTGACTCAGCAGGGGTGGTGCCCTGACCTCTGCAGCCCCATGGTGACCACCCAGCGTCTACCCCCAGGGCCCCAGTTCTGTGCTGTCCATGCCTATGAGAGCAGCCGGGCTGATGAGCTGTCTGTGCCCGCAGGGGCACGCGTGCGTGTGCTGGAAACCTCTGACCGAGGCTGGTGGCTGTGCAGGTGTGTGGGCTGGGGCTCCGGCAGCCGGTCTGGTGGCAGGGCGGGGGGGACAAGGCCCAGAGCCAACCAAATGTGTCCCACAGGTTCCGAGGCCGCACCGGTCTTCTCCCAGCTGCAACGCTGCAGCGTGATGGGCTGGGCACCCTCCTCAGTGGGCCATGGCTCCACCACGGGGCTGGCACTGCGGAAGGTGGGGAGGGCAAGGCCCATGGCTCCCCCAGGTCCCCCCAGGCCGCGATGCTTCCGCCTCCTGTGCCTACCCGGCCGCCTCTGAGCGCTATTCAAAGCCGCTGCTGCACCATCACCCGTAAGGCACTGCAGCGGGACCCGGGGCGGCAGGGAGCCCTCTGAGAGAGCGTGGTCCATCGTGGAGGGCGATGCTGTGCACCCCAGGGACCACCCCAGGCTCCAGAGCCCAGGGACGACCGCTGGCAGCCGCCTCAGCCTCAGGGCCGTGGGAAGAGCAGTGGAGGTGGGGCTTGCTGGGCCATGCACCCCCGGTGTGCCCTGAGTAAAGCTCTCCTGACTGACCGTGCTGTGTCTGTGCTAGGGGAGGGGGCTGACTGGCGGGCCCACCCTCAGGCTGGCCAGCTGTGGCCCAGGACCAGGGGGTGAAATAAAGTCAAGGTGGACACAGGGAGCCGAGATAGCAAAGTCCGTGTTTCAGAGGGCCGCGGGGGCCGTGGTGGCCGCGGGGAGAGTGGGAAGCTTCATGTTGTGCCACAGGAAGTCCAGGAAGGTGGCTGCCTGCAGCATCCGGCTGAGCCGCTGGAAGTGCCGCTCTGGGGGAGGACCGCGGGCTGTCAGGGGTGGCTGAGTGTGGCCGACAGCCCTGCCCGCCCCCAGGGCCGGCCCACTCACCGGTGTAGGGCAGCAGGCCCTCCAGCGAGGCTCGCACGCCGTCGTAGGCCAGCAGCTCGTCCGGGGCCTCGTGCCGCAGGAGCACGCCCAGCACGGCCTGGGCCTCGTGGCAATGCCGCGAGTTGGTGTTCCATGTGACGCAGAAGCGCAGCAAAGCCTCTGTGGGCAACGGGCACAGTCACACCTGCCCCCGGGGCCCCAGCCTCACACGGCCCCATCCAGCCTGACCTGCCCACCCCAGACCTTTCTGGTCGCGCCGCAATCGGAGCACCGTGGTCTCCAGCTTCTCACAGGACTTGGGGTCCCTTCGGATGGCTGCGGGGGGAGGGGAGGTTAAGCCCTGGGGAAGGGGCAGCACAGACCCCAAGAGACCCCCACCCCGTGCGGCCCGAGATAGCACTGACCCTGGATGACGGTCAGCACGGTGTGGGGCCGGTCCAGGGAGATGGCCAGGCCCAGCGCCCGCAGGTACCGCTTCTCGTGGAGCAGGTTGTCGAGCTCCTGCTGCCTAGAGGGCAAGGAGGGGACAAGGCACAGGGCCCCTGGGGGACTCGGCCATGCCTGACCCCGTCAGGGGCGAGCAGGGTGGCTGCTCTGGAGAGGAGGGACCAGCGTGCCGACTCCAAGCTGGGGGGCAGGGAGACCCCACTTACTTGACCACCTGTTCCTCTTTCTTGGCCTGCTCCTCGGCCTGCTCTGCCTCGGTCACGTCCTGGGGTCAGAGCGAGGTCACACTGGGCTCAGACCAGCCCCCACGCTGCCCTGCCCACTGCGATGCCCTCCCTGGCCCACACACCTTCCAGAGGATGACGCAGGAGTCGCTGGCACCAGTGAGGGCGCGGTCGTCCAGCCGGCTGCAGTGCAGCCCCCAGACCTTGTCCTCGTGGGCGTCCAGCGTCCGCACGCACTCGTTGTTCTTGATGGTCCAGAGCTTCAGGAGCCCATCAGAGCCGCTGGGGTGGGGATGGGAGGGGTTCAGCCTGGGGTCTGCCCAGCACACCCCGGCCCTGCCCACCCCCGACTCACCTGGACAACAGCTGCGTGCCACGGCTTACGAAGGCCACCTTCAGCACAGAGGCATCGTGCCCCTCGAAAGTCTGTGGGCAGGGTGGGGGTGGGGTGAGGCGTGGGGTGGGGGGCCGGGTCTGGGGTTGGGGGCGCCAGGCCTGGGCCAGGGGCGGCTCACCTTGAGGCAGCTGAAGTCCTGCAGGGCCCAGAGCTTGACAGTGCCATCGGCTGAGGCCGTGGCCAACACCTGGTCCATGGGCGAGAACTGGACGCACCAGAGGCCGCGCCGGTGGCCCGAGAAGACGCCCAGCAGCTGGCACTGTGGCAGGGCCCAGAGTTTGGCCGTGCGGTCCTGTGAGCCCGTGGCCAGCAGCTTGTCATTGGGGGCGACAGCCACACTGTTGATGTCCTGGTGGCGAGAGCAGGCAGCCACTCAGACCCCCATCCTGGCGAGGGCCTGGCCATGACCCCACCCAGGCGCTGCATGCGGTCACCTTGTCATGACAGCGCTGCGTGGCCTGGGCCTGCAGGAGGACCGGGCCGCCCTCGGGGCCGGTGCCCTTGGACAGCAGGGCTTCAGGGAGGGGCCAGAACTTCACAGTGCAGTCCTGGCTGCCCGTCACCAGGAAGGTTTCCTTCAGCCTGTGGCCAGATTCAGGGGAGGGGAGACACCTGCTGAGCCCTGGCCAGCCCTGCCGGCAGAGCCCCACAGCTCAGGCCTCAGGCCAGCCCCGAAAGCCTGCCCCACGACCAGAACTGCTGCATGCCCCCCACCCTGGCCACCCCTGGTGACTCAGTCCAACAATGGGAGCCCTGCCCCGGCCATCACTCAGTGTCCTTGTACCCACCGGTCAAGGCTACTTCTAGGGAGCCGCAGCCCCTTGGGGTGCCCTGCCCTGGCCTCTGTTCCGCACCCCTGGGCTGGAGACTCAGAGAGCAAGGCAAGAGCTGCCTCTGCTTCTGCGACACCCCCGGCCCTGACCACTACCTGGAGCAGCAGATGGTGCCCACGCTGTGTGTGTGCCCAGAGCCCTGAGCCACACAAGCCACCTCGCCGGCTTTGTTCATCCTCCAGAGGCGGATGCTCTGATCCTGGGGATGCGAAGGGTGAGGGGAGGCTGGGCGGGGCTTCCCCACCAGTTCCTGCCCCCCAGCTTCTGTGGTGTCTCACCTTGGCACAGCTAGCAAAGAGCCGCCCCTTCCGGAACACGTCTAGGGCCAGGACGATGTCTGGAAGAAAGTGGAGTGGCCGTGGCTAGAGGTCAGCTGAGGCCAGGCCGGGTACTCCGTCCGGGTGAGGGCCCGGGGCCTGGTTAGTGCCCTCACCTGTGTGGCCGTGGAGAATCTGGCAGGCTGAGGTCTGCAGATCAAACACCTTCAGGCAGGGGCTGTTAGAGGCCACGACAATGTGAGAGTCCTCAGGCCCGAGGAACCGGACATCCAGCACCTCCTCACTGTAGCCGGCGAACTGTGGGGTGGGAGGGACACGGGGCGGGCTGGGTGAGCAGGGAGGTGGCACTCAGGCTGGGGGCTGAGCAGGGGCAGTGCGTGCACCTGTTTCCGCAGCCGCAGGGAGCGAGCATTGTAGAGCAGCAGGTTGTGGTCGGCAGTGACGCTGAGGAGCAGGCCGGCGGCGCGGGCCAGGGTGCAGTGGGTCAGCTCCCGCCCGGGGCCTGGCAGCCGCTGCTGTGCGTGGACACACCGCCCAGAGGCCACCTCCCACACGCGCAGCGTGCCTGGGCAGAGACAAGGCCGCTGGCACGCTGGGTCTGCCAGCCCCTGCCCCCTCCCACCCGGGCCGGGCCCACACACCTTGGTCACCGGCTGTCAGGAAGTGCAGGCCTGCAGACTTCACACCCAGCTCTGGTGCCGGCTCCTCCGGCAGCAGCACCGCGGCCTCCACGCTCTGAGGACAAGCAGGTCGGGGTGGAGCCCCCGGCCTCGCTGCCCCTCCCCTCCCACCGCCCTCACTGGCCCTGGCGCCCCCACCTCAAACACCGGCACAGTCCTTGTGGCCTGGAGGCTCCGCAGGTCCCAGACGACACAGATCTTGTCCCGGCCCGAGCTGGGGGGACACCCGCCTCAGTGCCCGGGCCGCAGATGTGGGCCTCCCTGCCCTGCCAAGGCCGGGGGGAGCTGGGCTCTGACCTGAGCATGGTGTGGCTGTCGGCGCTAAAGGTCAGAGACGTGACGGCGCTGTAGTGGGCAGTCAGCACAGCCAGGCACGACCGCTCCTGCAGCGACCACACGCGGACACTGGTGTCTGCGGCTGAGGAGAAGAGCAGCAGGCGAGCGGGGTCCGGGTGGAAGGCCACCAGGCTGCGGGCAGGCGGGCAGGGCTGTGAGCTGCGCCACCCTGGCCGTGACGACCCCCGCCCCGCCTCCCGCTGCCCCGACTCACTGCACGACGCCTGGCGAGCCCCGAAAGTGGTGCGTCCCATAGTACCGCACGACGTCCCAAACACGCACGGCCCCGTCACAGCCGCCTGTGGGAGTGGATCTGAGGTGGGGGCGCTGTGGGCCCAAAGATCCCCGCCTGGCTCGCCGCCCCCAACCCAGCCGAGGTCCTACCTGTGGCTAGCAGTGTGGAGGTGGGGTCGAATGCCATGGTGGCCACAGGGGCCGTGTGTATTGCCTTCCACAGGCGGGTGACGCTGCCCTCTTGCCAAGCCCACTGAGCCAGCAACAGGGCCCGGCTGGCTGTCACCAGCACCTAGGGGAGGACGCAGTTCAGCTGGGGCACGGGTGTGTGTGACATCCTTACCCACTCAGTCTGGGCAGGAGGTACCGGAGCCCACCTCCTGTCCTGACCCCACACACCTTGTCATCGGGGCTGAGGTCAAAGGCAGTGATGTCCTCCTGGTCCTCCTAGGGGCGACAGTGAGTGTGCAGGGTGCCGTGAGAACAGGCTGCCATCCACACCAGCACCTGGCCCCGACCCTCCCCGCCCTCACCTGCTCCAGGCTCCGCAGCACGGCCCCCGAGGCCATGTCCAAGATGTTGACTCTGGTGCCACAGACACAGAAGAGGTGCTGTCCAGTCTGGTCCAGCTGGGGACAAAGAGGTCTCAGGCAAGGGAACACCCTGCAGTCCCAGGCTCCTCATCACCCTGCTGACCCTCCCCCTGACCCGCCTCCCCCCTCCCCCCGCCGGGGCCAGTACCTGCACCTTCCCGCCCTTGTAGAAAGGCTCGATCTTGCGCTCGACAGCATAGCTGGAGGGGAGACAGGGCAAGAGAGTGAACCACCACCGTGGTCCCCGGTGCCCAGCCCTGTGCTAGGTGCTCTCCCGGAGGTCAACCCAATAGGACCCTGCCCTTGAGGAGCTTCTGGGAGGGCAGGGATTCTGGGGTGCGTGTGTGTGCGCACGCATGGTGGGGTGATGAGCTCATCTGTTACCTTCTTTACCCCTCTCAGCCATATTGGGATGTGGGTGTTAGTACCCCCTTGTTACAGAAGATTTGGGACCCTGAGTGGGTCAGTGATCCACACGGGCCCAGGGAAGCAAAGGCAGTCCAAATCTTCCCACAGACTCCCAGGTGCCCAGGAAGCCAGGCCTTGGGCGCCCTCTGCTGGCCATGGGAGGCCAGGCCTGGGTACCAACCCAGAGCAACATCCTCTTCAACACCCTTATCCTTGAGGTCCAACTCCAGCCTGCCCCTCCACAACCCCAGTTCCTTCCTCCACCCCACTCTCCAAGCAGATTATCCTCACCCCTCCCTCTCTGCTACTTCCTTGCTGGTCCAGGCCACAGCACTCTCCTCTCTGGGCAGCTGTTACAGCCTCTTCATGTACCAACCACTCTCTCAAAGCTTGCTCCCAGAGTAAGAACACAACTCTTGTTTGTGTTGTCCCCTGCCTTGAAACCCTCTCCTCTCCTTACGTGTTCCCAAGAACCTGCTGTGAGGAATCTCTGCTGATCCTTTGTGTTCACACAGACTGTTCCCTATTCCCAGCCTGGGCCTCTCTGAATTTCCAAGGTGCCTGGCTAACTCCACTAAAGGAAGCCTGACGGCCAAGAGTAGGCTGGAGGCCCTCTGAGCCTGCTCCACCATCCAACAGAGGTCTTGGCATCAGGGTTTCCCCTTGCTAATGCTTGTCGCAGCTACTGCTGGAAATGATCTGCTTGGTAGGTGTACCCCATCAGACTCTGCTCCTACGCGTTAGGCTGAGTCTGTCTGGACCCGGGAACTGAGCACTTAGACATTCAACATAAGTTTGGGGATTGCATAAGCCCGGGATTCAGGGCCTCCTGGCCACGGACTTCTGTCTAGCTCATCTCCTGACCTCTTCCCAGTCCTTGGAGAAGAGAGACAGCATGTGAAAGCTCCCCAGGCCGCCTGCCCCAAAGGTGGCTCTTCTGCGGTCGTCTGGGCGGTGGGGACTCCCACCGTTCAGGACCGGCCTCGACCCTTCCTCTCGCTTTGGGATCTCTAGTCCCCGCCCCCGACCGAACCTGCTTCAACTTTAGGTCGCGGAAGCTAGCTGCACCCGACCAGGCTCCAGGGCCTGCCCTCCGAGAGCTGAGCGCTGTCAGTGCCTGCTCTGCCACCTGATGCCGCAGCCGCGACGCCGCCGCCCGCCTGTTAGGACCCAGCCCCGTTATTACCTCATCCCTTCCCAAACCGATGCGTGTGGGACCCACGCCGGCGCCTTCGCTACTCCGGCTGCGAACCCGGCTCCCTCCCTCGGCGGCGACCCAAGACCCAGCGGCGGGTTCACCCCCAGTCCCAGCGCCCCAGCTTACTTGGACTTGAAGCGGCCCACTCCGGCCGCCACTTCAGCCATGTCGCCGGTGCCACCGCGTGAGGGAGACCCGGGAGCCATTCCGCAACTTGGGCTCGCAGAGATGGCGTCACCGCCCACTACTACTGTTACGTCATCGGCGCTGCGACCTCGGCGACATCTTTGCTGTGGGCAGTGGCGCGGCGTCAGGAAGCGGAAGATGGCAGAGGCGTTTCCGGCCTGGAGGGTGGGGCGTAGGGTAATGTGGGAGCGGTGGGGGAGGGAGGCGTAGACTGGCCGCGTGCTGGAGTCGCCAGCCGCCTGTCTTTTAAGTGGAAATTTGAAAAGGTATTCGTAGGAACTGGTTATTGAAGTAATCCCAAGACTCCTGCCCCCTTGGCATTCTGCCGTTTGGGTTAAGCGCGGTGGGTTAGCAGAGCCCTGAACCAGGCTCCGCCTTAGCGTATGGTATGAGAAATAGCGCAGGTAAACTACTTCAGTTCAGTCGCTCTGTCGTGTCCGTCTCTTTGCGACTCCATGGGCTCCTTCCCTGTCCATCACCAGCTCACAGTTTGCTCAGACTCATGTGCATCGGGTCGGTGATGCCATGCAACCATCTCATCCTCTGTCGTCCCCTTCTCCTCCTGGTAGTAAATCGGGCGATTTCGGGGCCATTCAAATATTGATTGAGCACATTCTCTGTTCTAGGCACTTGGGAGACACCAGAGAAGGCTGGCTAGTGAGGCCAGGGCTGGGCAGAGGAAGGGCCCGGAATAATCTTGTTAAGTGGTTAGTGATCCGGAAAGAATGTAGTAGGGTTAGGATGGAGTGGAGTGCAGGGGGCACAACTTTAAACTGGGTGATGGAGGAGGCTTCCTTGTAAAGGTGAACTGCGAGCAAAGCCCGAGGTTGGTGAAGCAGGGAGTCCTCTGATTAAATGGGGGACCAATGCTTCAGACTGAGGAACAGCCAGTGCAGAAGCCTGGCATTTAGGAGACACAGAAGCCGGTGTGGCTGCAGGGAGTGAGTAGGAAGGAGAATATAGGGCAGAAACAAGATAAGGAGGGATCCTCGGGAATCACTGTGAGCAGTTGGCTTGTACTTTGATTTCAGGGGTTTGAGCTGTTTGTGCTACTGGCTGCGAAGCCAGGAAACAGATTGGAAGAAGGTAACTGGGAGGAGGACTGGGAAAGGATGGGCAGGGGAAACCTCTGCAGAGGAGACAACCGAATGAGAAAAAATCAGGCAGAGAGCTGAGGGGAAAAGTCAATGTGAGGAACTGGTGGGAAAGAACTTGGAGAGGTCCAGGGGAAAAGCTAAGGTGCCTCTTCCCCCTGAGAGGAGTAGTTCCTAGAGGAGGTGGGGTGAGGTCAGCAAGCATAGCGGTAGTGAGGCAGCCAGGCCTGGGCTCTGCATTTATTTACCCTCTATTTACAAGGTAGCTTGGCCCTGGGGCCCCCACACCTCAGCCCCAGTGCTGCCTTCGGGGGTGGCCTCAGCCTCCTCTTGCGGGGCACCCACGAGCAGGGGGTCATCTTCCTCCAGGAAGTCTGCCAGCTGCCGGCGGATGAGGCCAGTGGTCCGGTGCATTTTGCGCATGTGCCGCAGTAGGCAGAGCACCAGGGCCCGGCTGCGCTGCTGGCGCTGGCACCAGGCCTCTCGCAGTTCCTGGTAGCAATTGTGGTTTGCATGCTCGGCTGGGCCCAGGGTGGCCCCGCAGCCCAGGGAGCAGCGCTGATGGGCACCGTGCTGGCAGTTCTGCCTATGCTCAGCCAGGGCCCCACGAGGCACCCGCAACATGCAGCCTTCATTGGGGCAGACCATCAGCTCGAAGGGGCATGAGTCCTGGTGTCCCTTGCGATGGGCCAAGGGGCACGTCACCTGGCAGCCAGCTTCGGCGTTCCTGCACTGGGGGTGGAGGAGAGCATCGTGTGAGCCAAACCAGGTTGGGGACATCTCCAGCCACCCCCAAGAATCCCCCATCCATGACGTTCCACTGACTAGGAAACACTGAACTGGCAGCCTCCCAACCTCTTAGGCTACCAGTGATGTGGTGGAGAGAGGTAAACTGTAGCAAATCCTTGAAGGTAGGAAAAATCTAGATCTCAGAGGAGTGGGGACAGGAGGTTTAGAGAACGGAGTTACATGGTTGGCTTGGTCTAGTGGGTTGTATGTATGTATGCCAGGCTTTTTTTTTTCTTTTTTTTTTCCTGGAATCGAACCCAGGATATAGCAGTGAATGATCACACCATCGTGGTTATCTGGGTCATGAAGATCTTTTTTGTATAGTTTTTTGTATTCTTGCCACCTGTTCTTAACATCTTCTGCTTCTGTTAGGGCTTCCCTTGTGGCTCAGACGGTAAAGCGTCTGCCTACAATGCGGGAGACCCGGGTTCCATCCACTGGGTTGGGAAGATCCCCTGGAGAAGGAAATGGCAACCCACTCCAGTACTCTTGCCTGGAAAATCCCATGGACGGAGAATCCTGGTAGGCTACAGTCCATGGGGTTGCAGAGTCGGACACGACCGAGCGACTTCACTCACTCACTCTGTTAGGTCCATACCATTTCTGTCCTTTATTGAGCCCATCTTTACATGAAATGTTCCCTTGGTATCTCTAATTTTCTTGAAGAGATCGCTAGTCTTTCCCATTCTATTGTTTTCCTCTATTTCTTTGCATTGATCACTGAGGAAGGCTTTATCTCTCCTTGCTATTCTTTGGAACTCTGCATTCAAATGGATATATCTTTCATTTTCTCCTTTGCCTTTAGCTTCTTTTCTTTTCTAAGCTATTTGTAAGATAGCCATGATGGTGTGATCACTCCCCTGGAGCCAGACATCCTGGAATGCGAAGTCGAATGGGGCCTTAGGAAGCATCACTATGAACAAAGCTAGTGGAGGTGATGGAATTCCAGTTGAGCTATTTCAAATCATAAAAGATGATGCTGTTAAAGTGCTGCACTCAATATGCCAGCAAATTTGGAAAACTCAGCAGTGGCCACAGGACTGGAAAAGGTCAGTTTTCATTCCAATCCCAAAAAAAGGCAATGCCAAAGAATGTTCAAACTACAGCACAATTGCACTCATCTCACACACTAGTAAAGTAATGCTCAAAATTCTCCAAGCCAGGCTTTAACAGTACATGAACCATGAACTTCCAGATGTTCAAGCTGGATTTAGAAAAAGAAGAGGAACCAGAGATCAAATTGCCAACATCCGTTGGATCATCAAAAAAGCAAGAGCTCCGGAAAAACATCTACTTCTGCTTTATTGACTACGCAAAAGTCTTTGTGTGGATCACAACAAACTGGAAAATTCTTCAAGAGATGGGAATACCATACCACCTGACCTGCCTCCTGCGAAATCTGTATGCAGATCAAGAAGCAACAGTTAGAACTGGACATGGAACAATGGACTGGTTCCAAATCGGGAAAAGAGTATATCAAGGCTGTATACCGTCACCCCGCTTAACTTAACTTCTGTGCAGAGTGTATCATGCAAAATGCCAGGCTGGATGAAGCACAAGCTGAAATCAAGATTGTCAGGAGAAATATCAATAACCTCAGATATGCAGATGACAGCACCCTTATGGCAGAAAGTGAAGAGCCTCTTAATGAAAGTGAAAGAGGAGAGTAAAAAAGTTGGCTTAAAACTCAACATTCAGAAAACTAAGGTCATGGCATTCGGTCCCATCACTTCATGGCAAATAGATGGGGAAACAATGGAAATAGTAAGAGACTTTATTGAGCTGCAAAATCACTGCAGATGGTGACTGCAGCCATGAAATTAAAAGACGCTTGCTCCTTGGAAGAAAAGCTATGACCCACCTAGACAGCATATTAAAAAGCAGAGACATTACTTTGCCAGCAAAGGTCCATCTAGTCAGTGCTATGGTTTTTCCAGTAGTCATGTGTGGATGTGAGAGTTGGACTGTAAAGAAAGCTGAGTGCCGAAGAATTGATGCTTTTGAACTGTGGTGTTGGGGAAGACTTGAGAGTCCCTTGGACTGCAGGGAGATCCAACCAGTCAATCATAAAGGAAATCAGTCCTGAATATTCATTGGAAGGACTGATGCTGAAGTTGAAACTCCAATACTTTGGCCACCTGACGCGAAGAACTGACTCATTGGAAAAGACCCTGATGCTGGGAAAGACTGAAGGTGGGAGGAGAAGGGGATGACAGAGGATGAGATGGTTGGATGGCATCACTGACTGAATGGACATGAGTTTGACTAAACTCCGGGAGTTGGTGATGGACAGGGAGGCCTGGTGTGCTGCAGTCCATGGGGTCAGAGTTGGACATGACTGAGCGACTGAACTGAACTGATGGCAGTGAAAGTGCCATATCCTAACCCCTAGACCAAAAAGGCACTCCCCAGCCAAGGTTTTTTTTTTTTTTTTAATCTCAATTTCCCTATCTATAAAAACTATGAGGCTGGATAGCAATGGCACCACAGCAGGCTCTCCATCCTTTACAATCCCCATTTTACAGCTGGGGCTCTTGGAGCTCAGAAAGGTTAGGTAACTTGCCCAAAACCACACATCAAGTATGTTGTAGAGAAGTGACACATTCAGCCAGATCTGATAACCCTAGGGGGAGCAGTGTGTTGGTGGAATAGAAACCCTCAGTTCTGAGAATGGGGTTCTTTTCAACCCCTCTGCTGGCTTTGCCCCGACCCATGCAGAGGGGAGGAGGGTAGAGTGACGGGAGGGGGAGTTCTGAGTTACCTTGACTTCCAAGCGGCCAATGATCTTCTGGAGTTTATTCACATGGACCATCTTTCTCTGTCTCACCTCTTTCCTGCAGCATGGACAGGTATTTTGTCTAGGAGACATGAGTGGGGGTGATTGTTGGGTGTGGAGGTGGCAGCAACATGCCTCCCCTGGTGGTCCTTCTTTCTCTCTAGCTGGAAGAGGCATAAGAGGGCTTTATAGGGAGCACGAAGCTCTGAGGCTGGGGTGCAGATTCCACAGGGGCCCAGCTCATATATTAGCATCCCAGGAGATTTGGCGGCTGAAACTAATGGCCACCATGACCCAGTGCTTGGCTGACCTTCCTCTCTGTTCTAGCTCCTAGGAATGCCCCCCCCCCCCAGCCCTGCCCTGGCCCCCGAGCCTCGTGGGTGCCCAGTAGCACCTGGCTAGCCACCGGAGGATGCATTTCTTGCAGAAGATGTGGCTGCACGGCAACCTCACCGGCCTCTTGAGAACTCCGTGGCAGACAGAACACAGGAAGTTGCAATCGGGAGGGCTGGTGAAGAGGTTGAGATCATACCCGCCACTCTGCAAAGGCCAGGCCTACATCAGGGCCTGGCTGGGACCAGGATCTGACTCCCTACTCCACATGCCCAGAAAGGGACTCCAGGAAGCTTTGGTTGGGAGGTGGGCCACATGAGAACCATAAATAGAGGGTTGGGTCAGCACCCAGTTTGAGGGGGCAGCAGTGAGGGCCAAGATCCCCCATTTCTACCAAACCCAGCTGTAGAAGTTGGCCTTGGCCTGGAGTTAGACCTGGGCCAGAGGTCTCTGAAAGGTTTCCTTGTCCCATTTGGGGCCCTGAACCCCGTTGTGCAGATCATCTCAGTGAGGAGTGGGGTCCAGCTTGGGAAGGTCTCTGAAATTAGGCACAATCTAAGAGCTCACCATGATCTGTGTCTGGACGGCAGCTCTACTGAAGCCAGGGCTCAGGAGTCGCTATTTCATAGCAGGAGCGGGTCGACATCACAGGGGCATTGTCCAGCTCAGGCCAATCACAGCCCTGGCCCAGGGTACCACCTGGCTCTGCTCCTGCCTCAAGAACCTCAGGGGTAGGGCAGCTTATACCCAGGACAGGTCTCTGGAACCCCTGACTTCAGGGTGGCTGACAGTTGACCTTCAAACAGCAGTAAGGCTGGAACAAAGCTTCCAGGGGCTACTTCCTCAAAGCTGAGGCTGCAGTCCAAGCGCACAGTTTGTTTTCCTACCTCACGTGGTGCCGCCCAGGTGACTAGGTCCCCAAGAGCTCTGGGGGCTTTAGACACTGACCCATCACCAGGCCTCTTGGGATCAGACCCACAGTTATTTCCAGGGTACAGACCAGGAATGAGGACCTGATTTCTGTGGTACCAAAGCAGCAGCATGGAATGTGGAGAGCCTCCCAGAGCCTGCTCTGACCACCTGGGTATACCTATGAGGAAAGGCATGGATGGGTAAACCAATTCCAGCTTGGGAAACTAGCATATCCCCATATAGGAGGCACAGAAGAGAACTGGTTTCCATGCCACTGAGTGTTTGCACAGGCTTAAATTGCTCAGTTGTGTCCAATTCTTTGAGACCCCATCGACTGTAGCCCACCAAGCTCCCCTGTCGATGGGATTCTCCAGTCAATACTGGAGTGGGTACAGTTCCTTCTCCAGGGGATCCTCCTGACCCAGGGATTGAAGCCAGGTCTCCTAAATTGCAGGTGGATTCTTTACCATCTGAGCCATCAAAGAAGCCAGAGTGTAGAGTTCATCAAATCCTAGAAGATTTTGGAAGGTGGAACCTTAGGAGTCACCTGCCAACCTTCAAGACCGGGTTCTATCCCTGGGTGGCATTCAAAGCAGAGCCGAGATGGCTGGAAGAAAGGTGTCCCACAAAAGTATCTCCTCCACAGCACACCTCAGTCCCAGCAGCCACAGATGCGTTTTGCAGGCTGAGAACGAGGGGACCAAGAACACACGCTCACACGGATGAATTAAATCAACAGCTTTATTGAAAGATGAAAGGCGAGCCCCCCCCCCTCCCCCCCGTCCCCCCACGGTCTTGGCGGCATTGGCCTCAGGTTCTGGGCATCCAGCTGTCCTGCGGGTAGAAGACAAGGTCAGATACCAGAGTCCGAAACACGCGAGAGGCCTCAACCGAGCCCGGAGCGGCGGCGCGTGTCGGGGCCTGGGTTTCACATCCCCACACGGAGAAGCGGGCAGTGAGCTAAAGCCCCCTGTGGCTCTGGGCGCCGAATCTCACCTGCGGCCATGGTCAAAGTCGAAGGTGATTTTCAACCAACGCCGATCTCCCAAACCACCCCCACCCCCGCCCGCCCCAACAGCTTCCCGAACAGTAGGGAGCCAGCGGACCCAAAAGAACAAACCTACCCGCAGCCGGAAAATGCGAGGTGGTGCCGGCGCGAGTCCTTATATGGGTCGCGCAAATTCCCGAGGCCGCAGACACGCATGCGCACGCAGAGTTCGCCGGGGACGGGGCCCCGCGCAGCCAATCACGGGCTCCTTAATATACTCTTGGCGCAGCGCCATTGGGGCGGGGCAACCGAGATCTCGCGACCCTTGGTGCCTTATAAAGACACCGTCGCGCGCGATCTCTCTCTCTCTTCTTCGTGAAAACACGTGAGTGGTTGTATGTGTGGCTGAGGCAGGCGGGCCTGGGCCGCCATCGGACGGGGCCCGGGATGCTGCGCCCGCGCTCCGTTGTGGAGCCCGGCCTGGGCCCCCGAGGCGGCTCTAAATGCCAGGACTTCGCTCACCGGCTGGTTCTTGTTTCTCTTTTTAGCAAATGGCGGATGACGCCGGTGCTGCGGGAGGGCCCGGAGGCCCGGGGGGCCCTGGAATGGGAGGCCGCGGTGGCTTCCGCGGAGGCTTCGGTAGTGGCGTCCGGGGCCGGGGTCGTGGCCGAGGTCGGGGCCGGGGCAGAGGCCGCGGAGCTCGCGGAGGCAAGGCCGAGGACAAGGAGGTAGGTCTGAGCTGGGCGTGTGAGGCGGGCCCTTGGGTAGCACCGGGGAGGAGGCCCTGGTCACCTGCGCCTTTTTCTCTCGCAGTGGCTCCCCGTTACCAAGCTGGGCCGCCTGGTCAAGGACATGAAGATCAAGTCCCTGGAGGAGATCTACCTTTTCTCTCTGCCCATCAAGGTAAACACGGTTCCTCATCCGGGATGGCGCCGTGGCCTGTAGTCGAGGGAACTCTTGTCGTTGGCCAAACGTTGATAGAGAGGTTCTAGACTCCACTTGACCTGGGCTTCCCTGGTGGCCCAGACAATAAAGAAAATGCCTTCAATACAGAAGACCCGGGTTCGATTCCTTTTATTTGGAAGATCCCCTGGAAAAGGGGATGGCTACTCATTATTTCTTGGAAAACTCCGTGACCAGGGGAGCCTGGCGGTTCATGAGGTCCCAAAAACCCCAACACAACTAACACTTAAGGCTCCCCCTTAGGTGTTGATTTTTTTTTTGTAATGAGTTTACTTTTTGCAGGAGTCTGAGATTATTGACTTTTTCCTGGGAGCGTCTCTCAAGGATGAAGTTTTGAAGATTATGCCCGTGCAAAAGCAGACCCGTGCTGGCCAGCGGACCAGGTTCAAGGTACCCCAGTCACCATACCTTCCTGGTTAGTTGCTGCCAAGGGCCTTCACGAGACTCTCTCAGCTCTGCATGGTTGCACTTGGCGTCACACGTGTGACTTTCGTAAAGGGGAGAGAGAGGATGGATCTCCTCAGGATCTCAGATTGGCCTCCTGGTAGCCAGTCTTGCCTTGAGGGGCGCAACAGACCTTGTGTGGTGGGCGGTTACTGATGCTCTGGAGGCCCCTGGCCCACCACCCACGTCAGTCTCTCCGCAGGCATTTGTTGCCATTGGGGATTACAATGGACATGTCGGTCTGGGTGTCAAGTGCTCCAAGGAAGTAGCCACTGCCATCCGTGGGGCCATCATCCTGGCCAAGCTGTCCATCGTCCCCGTGCGAAGAGGCTACTGGGGGAACAAGATCGGCAAGCCCCACACAGTTCCTTGCAAGGTAGACTGGATGCTGGTGCACAGTAGGGCTTGCGGTGGTGTAGACTCCCGCCTGTTTTGTCTCCTGACGTCTCTATTCCTCCCCAGGTGACTGGCCGCTGCGGCTCCGTGCTGGTGCGCCTCATCCCTGCCCCTAGAGGGACTGGCATCGTCTCCGCCCCTGTGCCCAAGAAACTGCTGATGATGGCCGGCATCGACGACTGCTACACTTCTGCCAGGGGCTGCACCGCCACCCTGGGCAACTTCGGTAGGTGGCCCGCAAGCCAACTCCAGCTTCTCTCAGCTCCGCTTAGCCACATTCTGTGTGTGGTGGGCGTATTTTCAGAGAGAGAGAGAGGAAGGCTCTCCTAATGCACGACAGACTGGCCCACAGTGGCCTGTTTGTTCCTAGGAGCGCAACAGCCTCCATCTCCATCTGGGGGTTCACCTTGGGTGAATTCACCAGCCTTCTCTGGTTTTCCCTTTTCTAGCCAAGGCCACTTTTGATGCCATTTCCAAGACCTACAGTTATCTCACCCCTGACCTCTGGAAAGAGACGGTGTTCACCAAGTCTCCATATCAGGTACTGCCTGCCCCCCACCCTGTTGAAGAGCAGAGGGGAGTACTCTGTCTAGGTGCACAACTAAAAGTGTCTTGCTTTTCTAGGAATTTACTGACCATCTTGTGAAGACCCACACCAGAGTCTCCGTGCAGAGGACCCAGGCCCCAGCTGTAGCCACCACATAATTTTATAAAGAGAATAATAAAGTGAATGAAACCGGTTTGTAGTTGTAGTCTTGTTTTTCTTCCCAAATGTTTTTGGTCGCACGTGTAGCTGATGGGATCTTTCCCAACCCCCCAGCAGTGGAAGCCACTGGACTTAAGCTCAGTGGTGGCTGAATTTGGACAGGAAGTAGGACCAGTGAGATGAAAAGTGTGTCTAGGAGCTGAAAGGAACACCACAGGCACAGGCTCTCTCACTCTTTATTGGAGCAGCAGTGAGGACACAGGGACACGCGGCGGCCTCAGGCAGCGGCGGCCTCTTTAGCGGCTTTTCTCTCGGCCAGCATCCTCTGCTTCTGCTTTGCCAGGCACTTCCTGGCAGAATAATGGGCCCCCAGGTCGTGATCTGGGAGAGAGATGGGCGGGGAGTCATGGGCCACTCCTGTCATGAGGGGAACCTCTGCAGGGAGGGAGCTAAGGCAGGTCACTGAGCAGATTAACAGGGTGACTCAAAACCTCCAGAGACTGGCCTAGTTAGTAAAGCTTTTAGCACAGAGCCAATGTGGAGATTGGAAGTAGGATCGGGAGGGCAGGCAGGTGGGAGAGGCAGGAGGGCTCACTCACAGCGGTCCTGGTAGGCCTTGACCACCTGGGTGAACTGCTCCAGCTCCTTGGCACAGTTCTGCCTGTGGCTCTCACCTTCCCTCTGCTGACAGGCCTTCAGCCTCTCCTGGATAATGTTGACGATTTCTTGATCAACTTTGCTGAAAGGAAAACAAGGCAGATGGTCTGTAAGGACTCCTTTCCTGTACTGAGAGTAAAATGAAGGCAGGGCATGGGAGCCCTGTGGTCTGGCCTCTCCACCCATGGCTTCCCAAGGGCGTGATGGCCCCCAACAGGGTACATTCATTGTGCAGGGTTCTCTGTATCCCCTGATTAAACAGAAGCCCAAGGGGGAGGCCTTACTAATCTCTTCTCCACTGCATCTCTGCTTCAAACATGCACAAGACGTCCTTCTCCTGGCACTCTGTGATGTCCGGCACGCGGCGGAACTCACGGTGATAGTAGTAATACTTGTTCTTGGCATGCTGCCGCTCGATAAACTCTGCAAAGGGAAAAGCCCAGACCCAAAAAGGCTACTGGTTTGGACAGGTCACAGTCTGAAGGGGCTCTTAGCTTTGTATTTCTCGTAAGTCGTGGAAGAGGCAGGTTCCCCAAATGTTCCCAGTTTTACAAAGACTGGCAACGACCCACAAAGAGGTGTGGGAGGGCTGGCAGCCAGTCCTGGAAAGGACTGGGCTTACAAGCCCAGATGTCTGCAGTTTATGAAGAGTTCTATAAGGTAGGCACCACCCTTATCTCACTCTGTCCCCACAACAACCCCGTGTAGGGCAGGGCCTTTTCATTTATAGAGAGAACATCCAGGCTCTGAGATGGCAGGATTCAGAGCCTATGCTCTGCAAGCCGCCCCACCTGCTAGTCCTGCTGGCCAGCCTCCCCCAGAGCACAGGGACTCCACTGTGGAGGCAAAGAGACCCCAACAGGGAGCCATCAGCAGGCCTCCACTGCCAGTTCTGCCATCTCTGACCTTTGGCCTCAACTTCCCCATGTGTAAATGAACAAGCTGGATCTAGTGAGATCTCACCTATCCAGACAGAGAAAACACTTCCTTAAAAACTGCTACACAAAAGGGAGCAGTTCCACTCCTGTTTATTCCAGACCTTGGTGGGGGCAGGTATCTAGTGTCTCCACCAGAAGAGAGCCACCAGAGCATGCTATGCACCCCAAATGCTTTGCTGTTGAAGGAACGGATTAACTGCACGGACGCATCGCCTGGCACTAGTGATTAAGGGCACAGTGCTCTGGGTGCTGCACCCACCGAGTTGGTGACAAAACAATGCCTTAAAAAAACATTCACCTGGTTTGGACCAGAGATGGCGGCATTTGGGCAGCTCAGGGAGGGCAAGTTACAGTACACCTCGGTGGGAGGGCCATTTTGTAGGCCTGCGAAGGGGTACCGGAGCACCTCTGCACCTCAACAGCCTTCCCGGACCGACTGCTGTGCAAAAATGCGGGATTCCCAGCGCGCCTGGAGAGTGGGATCTAACAAGCCTCTCGGAACGCAGATGACTTCGGTCCGCAAACAGCCCCTAATATGTGAGACGCCTGAGCCCAGGGGTGCGTGGACGGCTCCCCAGGGGGCAAGGGCCGTACGGGGCGGGGGGAGACGGCGGGAGTCCCGGGAGGCGAGGAGGCCTGGGGTGCAGTGGGGCTAGTACCTCTCACGAGGGTCACCGGCCGGTCCACGAGGAGGTCAAAGGCTTTCGTAAGGTAGGTGATAGGGTTGGGCAGCGAGGTCTGCGGCGAGGGCGCCGGCGTGCGGCGCGGGGGCTCGGGGTACACGTCCTTGTCCCAGCTTTCCGGCATGGCTGCGGCGGGCAGCGGGCTCAGCTCTCGGACGCGCTGCCCGGCCTCCGCCCGGATCCCGCGGCCTAGCTCGCCTGCACAGAGGACACCCGAGGGCGGCCGCGCCTGCGTAGGACGGCCGGCGTCCGCGGGGCACCATGGGACTTGTAGTTCGCCCTGACTGCCCAAGGGAGGCCTCGGGAGGATTATGGGTTCTCCGGAGACGTTTCGAGGCCGGTGCGAGCGCCCCCGCGTGGGATCGCAGCGCCATCGCATACGCGAGGAGTGCCTGCCGTGCGCTGGGCGTTGCTATCGGCGGTGAAAGAAACAGAAGATCCCTAGTTTAATTCTGGGAGCAGAGAGACACAGTAAGAAGTGTAAGGAAGGTGTAAGGAAGCCACTCATTTCAGATGCACGTGCCAAGTGCAGCAGGGAGCAGGATGGTGAACACACCAGGATGGCGAACTCAGTCCAGAAGAGTGAAGTCAACAGATAATGCAAACTACCAAATACCCTACTCTTCCAGGAAGCCTTCCTGGGTTGTCCATTCCTTACGGCCCTCTCTGGGCCCCACTGTCTCTGCCAGGGCCTCTCATGGACTGGCTGATGCCGGTGAGCTAGCAGGGCGCCTGGGGGTACAGGATGCTGCCTGGGGCAGCACAGGGTGTAGGGTTTGCCCCATCCACCCCCACACCCACCCCCACCCCCACCAGGGAGAAGTGGCTCCTCTCTTGGATACAGGGCACTCTGTTCTGGTTCTGAGGGTTCCATCCTGGCCCTGAACACTGTTGTGCCCTTGAGGCCAGCTCCACTGACCAGGGCCTTGCTGGCTACCCTCTGTGATCTCCATACCTGGTACAGTCCCTGGCTAGCACCAGGGAGGGTGGGTGCTGGTCACTTCCTGCCCAGAGGCTGGGGTCAGCCACTAGCTCTATGGACACACAGAATCCAGAATCACAGCATCTTCAGATCTTCAAATCATGAACTCATAGTACTGTCAGACTCAGCAAATAATAACACTGGACTGCAATGTCGGACTGAACCAGGGGACCCAACGGCAGTGGGCCAGAGGCATTACCATGACAGGAATGAGAGAAAGCAGAGTTCAGTACTCCGTTAAGGGAAAGCGCCCAGATGACGGCTTTCTGCTGCCACCCTGCCACAGACAGATTTGGAGATTATGCAGCAGAAAGAAAAAGGCAAATGAGAAGGGGGAACCCAAGAAGCTTCATGGCTCCATGTCCAAGCCTCTGACCCTTGACCTGTGTGTCTGCAGCCCCTAGCATGTGCTCCCTGGCACAGCATGAGGGTGTGTGCCCTTGGCCCTGAGTCTGCAGCGTGTCCCTTCTGTACTTCTTTCCTTCAGAGAGTCCTTTCCCCAGGTCATTTCTGGGCTGAGGGGTTACTGCTGCCCAGTGATTTTTTTTTTCCTGTTGGTCGCAGCTCAAAGAATTAAAAGTAGCTTTGTCATTAAAAAGCAATGACAAAAATGAAGAATTGTAACATTTCATTAGCACAGAATTTTAGCACCCAATGATGCAAAGTCCACAAGACCTGCAGAGATATATCAGGCCTATAAAAAGTCTGATTCTGGGATTTCCCTGGTGGACCAGTGGCTAAGACTCTGTGCGCCCAATGCAGGGGGCCGGGTTCGATCCCTGGTTGGGTAACTAGTTTCCACATGCTGCAACTAAAGATTCTGCATGCCACAATGAAGACTGAGAATCCTACACACAGCAACTAAGAGCCAGTGCAGTCAAACAAATCGACAAATATGAAAAAAATCTCTTGCTCTAAAGTTAAAAGGCTTTATAGCCATAGACTCTTTGAATAAAAAAAAATTAGGAGATCTCAATCCCCTTTTCATTCAAAACTTAACTTTGAAATGTAAGTTCAAAAAAAAAAAGTGAGTTCATAAAAATATCTAAGAGTTCTTGGCTCACAGCTACTAGAGTCCAGCGGCCTTGACATTGAATCACACTCTGGTGATCCTCTGGGCACTCACCCAGCCCTCGCCGTCTCCCCCCAGTTTGCCTAGCTCAGGCTCACAGCCCTCAGGACAGGACAGGAATCCACTCAACTTCAAGGCCAGCAAACTGGACGCAGACTCTGTTAATGGCAGCTGCTGGAGGGAAGCCCCCCAACCTGGGCTCCTCAGCCCTCTACCAGGCCAGCTTGCGCCTGTCCTGGAGAGTCCCATGAGGCAGAAGACAAGGTGTGTGAGCATCCCAGGACCCTTGGGGAAGGAGTGCCAGCCCGGGCTCCAGGTGTCCCCCCGGCTGCCCCGGCTGCCCCTCTTCGCCCGGCCCTGGGCCAGGCCTGCTCTTGGCACCAGAGCGCACACCCGCCACGGGAGATGACAGAGCTCCCCTGCCAGGGGCTAAATCTGGGATCTGGCCACTGTGCATCCTGGCCCTGCCACTCGAACTCCGGCGCCTGCCGGGAAGGCCCCTTCCCTTCCTGACCCGAAGGACCAGCTGCCATGGTCAGTGGGCTGTGGTGGGGGTGGGGGTGGGGAGCACGGAAGCCTCCTGGGGAGGGACAGGTGGGCTCCTGGGGTCTCTCCCAGCAGAGAAGGTCCTTGGGCCTGTGAAGGGGTCAGTGAGTAGGGGGACAGCAGGAGGCCTGGGCTCAGGCCTCCAGGATGGGCAAGGTGGGGGGACGGATGTCAACGGCCCCTTGCCCCTGTGCCCTGACCGCAGCGAGGATCTGCTGGGCCCCACTGGGCAGGACCACTGAGGACCACTGAGGGGAGCCTTTGGGGGCCAGGGGCCGAAGCTGGCTTTGTCCCCAAGACACTGCCCTCGGCGAAGCCTCCCTCCTTTCTTGTGGACGATGCAGGCCCGGAAGATCACCAGGCCACAGCCTGAGGTCTCTGGCTCACTTCCAGTCTGGATCCTGGGATAGTCTAGCCACCCCTCCCAGGGAGACCCCAGCTCTGACCTACCTCCCCTCCCGCCCCCAGTCCCACCGGAAGTTCTCTGCCCCCCGGCATGGACACCTGGGCTTCTTGCCACACAAGAGGAGCCGCCGACACCGGGGCAAGGTGAAGACGTGGCCTCGTGATGACCCCAGCCAGCCCGTGCACCTCACGGCCTTCCTGGGCTACAAGGCGGGCATGACGCACACTCTGCGGGAGGTGCACCGACCCGGCCTCAGTGAGTGCTGTGAGGGGCCCTCCCGGGGGTGGGCAGCAGGCAGAGCACCCCGGGCCTCCGGGAGATCTGGAGGCCCTTCTGATGCCAGGAGCCACAGCTGGGCTCCCCGAGGGGGAAGAGCCCCAGAAAGGGTCAGATGCTGACTGCTGGCCATGCCCCCAGAACCCATCTGTCATCGCCCCTGGTTCACAGATGAGGAAATGGAGAGGTTATGAGTTGGGATTCAGGGCAGGCGCGACAGTATACCTTTGGTCTTGAGAGCTTCGTAGATTCACGTGTGGTTTTAAGAAGAATGCCACGTAGCCTGAAGGTTTCCCCGATGGAAACGTCTCCTGTAACCATGGTACTATGTCACAGCCAGAGAGTGACATGCAGGATTCTCCTGAATAAGATGTGTGTTTATGTAGCTCTGTGCGGTTCTGTCGCATGTAAATGCATATACCCCCCACCCTGGGACACTTCATTCCCACAGGAGTCCGTCCTGGTGACCTTTTTACTGCCACAGCTGCTACCCCCAACTTCCTGGCAACCCTCATCTGCTCTTCATCTCTTCTATTGTATATATATATATTTTTTGCCTCAGCACAAGGCTGGTGGGATCTTAGTTCCCTGTGCATGCTTAGCTTCTTCAGTCGTGTCCAACTCTTTGCAACCCTATGGACTGTAGCCCGCCGGGCTCCCCCATCCGTGGGATTCTCCAGGCAAGCATACTGGGGTTGCCATGCCCTCCTCCAGGGGATCTTCCTGACCCAAGGATTGAACATGTGTCTGTTACATCTCCTCCATTAGCAGACGGCTTCTTTACCACTAGCGCTACCTGGGAAGCCCCCCTGACCAGGGATTGAACCTGGGCCCTCGGCGGTGAAAGTTCAGAGTCCTAACCCCTGGGCCACCAGGGAAGTCCTCTAATATATATTTCAAATGTACACTTCTTTGGATCAGCCTCAATAACACCATCTATAAAATCATGGGTCTGGACCAGTCGTCGGTTTTTTCCAGAGCTGTTCTGTGCTCCACTGCAGGAGGCCAGCCCGACCCTCTGGGGGAAGCTGCCCAGGCTGTGGCTCTCCTGCCCCTCTCCTGGGCGGCCTGGTGGGGAAACCGAGGCAGGAGCAGGTCAGGCCTTGCCTGAGATCCGAGTCAGAGCTAGCGTGGACACCTATGGCGGGTTCTAGCCCGGCAGTGACTCCCCGTGCAGGGCAGAGCAGGGAGAAGGGCAGGAAGTGGGGGCGCTGAGGGCTGGGGGCCTGGGGCCCTGCGCACGGGGGCTCTGTCTGCAGCAGCCCTGGGGCTGTGGTGCTCCGCGCTCTCACAGGCGGGTGGGCTGTGGTCGGCTCCTCCACCCTTCTCCTCCCCATGGGACACAGAGGCCCCCCTCCATGTCTTCTCTGTCTCTGGGTTTCATCCAGAAATTTCCAAGCGGGAGGAGGTGGAGGCAGTGACGATCGTGGAGACGCCACCCCTGGTGGTGGTGGGTGTGGTGGGCTACGTGGCCACCCCGCGGGGCCTGCGGAGCTTCAAGACCATCTTTGCAGAGCATCTCAGTGACGAGTGCCGCCGTCGCTTCTACAAGGACTGGTGAGGCTCATCCTGCAGGGTGGCCGGGCGCGGGGAGGGGTGTCACAGCGAGCAGAAGGCAGGGAAGGGTGTGTGTGTGGGTGCCTTCACTCCAGGAGAAGACAAGGACTAAGGGCTGGAGAGGAAGCTGTTAGCAGAAAAAAAGAAAGCAAACATTCTCCACCTCAGGGTGATGCATGTCAGAGCTGGTTCTGAGCTTCCTAGCAGCCAGGGTGAAAAAGGAAATGAGAACTGACAAGCTCATTAGAAAGAAAGGCCTCTTTAGGTCTCAAATCTTCCCTGGCATTTAGTCTTGAAAGGGAAAGCCCCCTCCCTGACTGACGACCCTCACAAACCCTCCTTCCATATGGAGGTAGAGGCACCGTAGTCTCCATGGGAAGTGAGGGTCCTGGGCCCCAGTGTCAGAGCAGGTTGTGTGACCACAGGCAAGCTGGTGGACCTCTTAGAATCTCATCTCACCCCACCCTCTGCCATACACACACACCACAGACACCATCACCCAGGAACAGGACAGGTCCCCATGTCGTGGGGCAGTCATGAGGGTGAGATGAGTAGTGTGTGTCAACTGCTCAGCACAGAAAAAGAGGTTGGCAAACGCCACCTGGCCTATGTTCGCTGTTGCAGTTGTGATCAGCTTGCTCCTCGTTCGGGGGCTCTGATCTCCGTGAGCCTCAGTTTCTTCGTCTGTAGGATAGGGATACTGATGCCCATCTTCCAGTGTCCTGCGGAGGGTTAGGAATGATGGGGCTTGCGGCCTGGCCAGTCCCGGCTGTTCACTTTAGAAGTGGGCTCAGCAGCCGTGGCCAGGTGGGCATGTGGCCGTGGGCCGGCTGGCACGTCCCTTCCCCGGGCTCCGGCACACCTGCTCACTCTCACCTCCAGGAGGCGGGGAGGGTACCCACTTGACAGAAGAGGAAACTGAGGCCTTGAGGGTGGGACCATCTGTGCTTTAAAGAGGGTGACTGGAACCAGCCCAGGGACCCCAGGGACCCAGCAGTGCCTCCCCTGGGAAGGGGAGGAGGGCGGAGGGGGACATCTAACCGGTGCTTGGTGGACTGCGGGCAGTGGAGGCCACCCCGCTCGCCCTGCTGAGCATCCTGTGTGCACCGCTCAGGCACAAGAGCAAGAAAAAAGCCTTCACCAAGGCCTGTAAGAGGTGGCGTGACACCGACGGCAAGAAGCAGCTGCAGAAGGACTTTGCCGCCATGAAGAAGTACTGCAAGGTCATCCGGGTCATCGTCCACACCCAGGTCAGCCCCCACCCTCTGGTCCACACTGGCTAGTCAGTCCACCCCCCAGGTCTACCCTCCCCCAGCTGGGCTTCCGGGAGCCCTGACAAATGTCAGCCTAAAAATACCATGAGCCCCGGGCACAGGCCCAGGGTGCTGGCAGCCTGGGGCTGGTGTGTTGGGCGTCTGTGAGGGCTGCAGGGCACCGACCACACCAGTGGTCAACCAAGGCCCTGAAATGCCCCGAAGGTCCCGGATCTCCTGCCCTGAGGCAGGTGTCGGGGGCTGGTGCTTCCCGTTGGGCACACGTGTGTGAATCCACATTTGTAAGTAGGGTCCAGGTAACCAACCCCTTCCGAACATTCTGGAACATTCACAGAAGCCTTCCAGGCCCGGGACGGTGGCCCTCCCAGCTGCCTCAGTTACTCTCACATGTGCAGTTCCCGGTTATGTGCGTCATTGGTTAACCTGTCTCCGTCCATGGACGTGAACTTCACGGGCTGTAACTTCCTCACTGCTGTGCCCCCAGCAGGTGCTCCACCAGTGCTGGTTGAGCCCTATGCTGTGACCTAACCCAGCCCTGCTTCTGCTGGGGGGTCCCCACAGCTTGTGCCTCACACGGCACAGAGATGTGTAAAAACACGCATCCGACCACATCACCCCCCACACTTGGAATAAATCCCCAGCTAATCCCCATGAGACCTGCCTGGCCAGGACTTTGCTCACCTCTCCTTATCCCTCTCCCCATCCTGAACCTTCCTCCTTGTTCACCATGATCCAGACACACTGGCCCTGTTTCTGTCCCCCTGCCCCCCAACCAGGATCTTCCCTGCCACAGGGCCTTTGCATATGCGGTTCCCTCTGCCCTAGAAGCTCTCAGTTCTTTACCTAGTGGATCCTTCTTGTTCCTGATGTCACCTCCTCAGAGAGGCCCTCCTTGACCACCCTCACGTGCAATGACTGTCTCCTCCACCCTCTATCCTATCACAACACACAGGCCTCTCCAAGAATTTCCTTGGCTTCTGTTCCCCAGTTGGTTGGTGGCTCCGTGGGGGCCAGGACCCTGTCTGCCTCATGGCAAGCTGTGTCCCCAGTTCCTCACACAGAACGCGGCATGCAGCCACACCAGAGCACAGGATCATCTGTTGAATGAACGCGTGCATAGAGGCCTGCCGGGGGACACCAGCTGGCCATGCCATGTCTACAGATGGGGGGGTGGGTGTGACTTTCTGGGAACCAACTGGTGTGTTGCATCTGCCAGATGAAGCTGCTGCCCTTCCGGCAGAAGAAGGCCCACATCATGGAGATCCAGCTGAATGGTGGCACGGTGGCTGAGAAGGTGGCCTGGGCCCAGGCCCGGCTGGAGAAGCAGGTTCCGGTGCACAGCGTGTTCAGCCAGAGCGAGATCATCGACGTCATTGCCGTCACCAAGGGCAGGGGCGTCAAAGGTAGGGCCGGGTGGCGATGGGGTCTCCAGCGAGGCTGCCTGGAGGGGGTGGGAACCACACTGGCCTCAGCCACCAGCCCCTCCCGCCTGCAGGTGTCACAAGCCGCTGGCATACGAAGAAGCTGCCGCGGAAGACCCATAAGGGGCTGCGCAAGGTGGCCTGCATTGGTGCCTGGCACCCTGCCCGCGTGGGCTGCTCCATCGCCCGGGCTGGGCAGAAGGGCTACCATCACCGCACGGAGCTCAACAAGAAGGTGTGTCCACAGGTCTGGTGGGGGGATGTCCATGACCACACCCCAGGGACCCAGACACCTCCTGGCTCCTGAGGCTCTGAAATGCCTCCTCCAGCGCCTGGGTCTCAGCCCACGTTCTCATGGGCGTGGACATCTTGCTGACCCCAGAGGCCACCCGCTGTCCCCCACATGCCCTGTCCTCCTGGCAGATCTACCGCATTGGCCGGGGGCTGCACACAGAGGACGGGAAGGTGGTTAAGAACAACGCATCCACCAGCTACGACGTGACTGACAAATCCATCACGCCGCTGGTGAGAGTGGGCGGCCGGTCTGGCTGAGGGGTCTGGTGTGCGTGTGTGGGGCAGGCATGCGGGGCACCACCCTTCCCAAGAACTCAGGCACCAGCAAGCCACCACCAGGGTGGACCAAACCCCTGCCGTTTCCTGCATCCTCAGAGTCTCCGCTGCAGACAGCATATCCTCCAGCTGCTTTCCCAGCGTTCGGGGTGCAGCAGCTCCGACTCCGCCCTTGGAGCCAAGCTGCCTGGGCTCACACCCCAGCTGCAGGATGTGGCAGCTGCGGGGCTGGGAGCAGTGACATCTCCCCCTACCCCTAGCCTGTTTCCCCCTCTGTAAAATACAGAGTTTTAAATAAGACAGTCACAGGATGGACTTAGGGTCTGGCTCAGAGACTGTCCTGATGTGATCTAGAGTGTCACCCCAGGCTAGGGGAGTTCCCCTAGTTTTCTCAGCGGCCCCTAAATCCAGAGCCTCTTTTCTGGACCTACGTTCCCTCAGGGCGGCTTCCCGCACTACGGGGAGGTCAACAACGACTTCGTCATGCTGAAGGGTTGCATCGCGGGCACCAAGAAGCGGGTCATCACATTGAGGAAGGTCAGTGCCAGGTGGCGAGCTGGGGAGTGGGAGCCCCATGGGCTGTGGAGTGGGTTGGGGGGGGAGCTGGTCTGTTCTGTCCCCCAGGCCACTCCAGGAGGGCAGGGTGGGGAAAGCAAAAAGGGAGGGGTTCTAACAGAAGGTGGGTGAGACCCTCCTGTGTGGACAGGGGGTGACAGGAGGGGCTGAGTGGGGACCTCCCGCCTTGACGTTTCCTTCTCCCACGGGCCCCAGTCCCTCCTGGTGCACCACAGCCGCCAGGCCCTGGAGAACATCGACCTCAAGTTCATTGACACCACCTCCAAGTTTGGCCACGGCCGCTTCCAGACAGCCCAAGAGAAGAGGGCCTTCATGGTGAGCCCATCTGCCTTGCTCTCTGGGGCTCAGACCCCACATCTCACCTGTCCCAGGGCGGGCATCTGTGGCACGCATGCCCCTGCACTCATCCACAGGAGGGGCTTTCAGGGGTCTAGTCTTGGGCATGCGCAGTCTTGCCGGAAAGAAAGCAGGGGAGGGACCGTGGTAGGGGGCGCAGGGCTGGCTCCGAGTAACCCAGGCGGCTGGTGAGACCCTGTGACTTAACCCTCCTCCTGTCCCTCGCCCCCCAGGGTCCCCAGAAGAAGCATCTGGAGAAGGAAAAGCCGGAGACCTCGGGAGACTTGTAGGCAGAATGAGATGGCGGGGGCCTGGAAGAAGCGCGGCGCAACCCCAGCTGGTGCCCTAGTCTAATAAAAGCCAGAGGCAGTTCTTCCGCTGTGTCTCAGAGTTGGGGGCACGGAAAGGCTGGTCAACAGCCGGTACTCTGGGGCTTAGAGCTGGGAAGGGGAGAAAGCTGACGTGTCTTCCGGTTCTCTGCAGCCGCCGCCCAGTGGCGGACGCGGTTCGGCGGCGCGCCCAGCAGCTCGGGGCTGGACCTCGGGAACCGCAGAGGCAAGGTCCTGGCTGGTGGGCGGGGCCTGCTGGAAGATAGAGGGGGCGTGTCCTCGGAAGCCCCCCCCCCCCGCCCCGGAGGCGGAAGTCGGAGCGCTAGCTCCGGGGAGGGATTGGCCCGCGGAAAGGGGCGGGGCAGTGGGAGGCGGGCCCTGCGAGGGTGTCTCCCATCCCCGGACGAGATTGGCTGCCTGGGGGAGCGGGGCCTCCGAGCTCCCGGGCCCGGCAGGGATCTGAGAGGGATTGGTTCTCGCGAGGCGGACCCAAGCCCCCGGTCCTGAGTCTGGCGTCGGATCCGTCGGAGGCGGCGTGCGTGCGACCGTCCCTCCGGCAACATGTCGTTCTGCAGCTTCTTCGGGGGCGAGATTTTCCAGAACCACTTTGAGCCGGGTACGAACTGTAACTTCTGGGAGGACAGCGGGCCGGGCCGTCGCTGTCCACCGGGTGGCGGCGGAGCCCCAGGAACGCGGAAAAAGTGTGGCCGCGCGGAGAGGAGCGCATGCGGGGCAAAGACGATACGGAGGAGGGAGGAGTCTGGGGGGCCCAGAGAGTAGGGGTACAGGGGAGGGAGAAGCTGGAGAGAGCACAGGCCTTGAGTGGGAGAGTGGCCCTTTCCGGGGAAATCTGTGCTGTCAGGGTAAGCGCGGGTGGCGACGCCCTTCGGGGTATCCGGGTCAGGTTCGGAACTTAAGAGGGACGCGCTGGAAGGTCCTGTCCAAGGGCAGATCCTGTGACTGGCTCCCTCTCCTTGGGGCTTCGCGCGGTTATGACCCCATCCCTTTCTCCTCCCCAGTTCCCCAGACCTGCGGGGTGAGCTGGAAAGCACAGAATGTCCCGTTGGGATCCAAATGTAACTGCCTGGGTGCCTCCCCCGCCTTCCCAGGGGGCCCAGGGTTGGGTAACCAGGCCAGGCTGCCAATGGTCAGTAAGTTTCACTGGACACCTTGGGCCAGCTAGGAGAGGTGGAAGATGAGGGGTGAGTGGTTGGTTGGGGCATGGCCCACCCTTAGCCCTGGCCCCAAGCTTTGAAAGATCCAGGTGAATCACATGCTGGGCTGTGCTGCCTGGTCATGGACTAATTTGGTAAAAATATGTCCACAAGCAAGACTAGAGCCGCGACCTACCCCTGGGCAGGGTTTCTTGGGTGTCAACTCTCTAGGGAGCTGGGCTGTGACACCCGGCATCTCTGTGAGCCAGCTGCGACATAGGACCCTCTGGCTGTCGGACTTGGGGTTGTCCTCCGGCTACTCAGCCACACTAGAAACCTCACTTCCACAGTATCTCCTGGTTCCTCTTTTTTTCCTCAAGTTACTGTTAAATGTTGAGTGGTCGTGGACTCCAGGGTAGACTGTCTCTAGGTCGGGCAGGGGGCAAAAGGTGACTCAGTACCCCTTGAGGGACCCTCAAGCAGTTTCCTGTTCTGCAAGTCAATTTTGCAAACTTTTTTTCCCCCTCAAAGTGATCTTTTGGGGATAGTTTAAAACCCATTTTTCTCCCTGCCCCGTGTTCCTGGGCCCTCTGTCTGGACCAGAAGTGTTTTTGCTGGGATCTTTTTTTTCCTACTTGGAGAGTAGGCCGGTGGCTGGGCTCCAGTTTAAGGCTTCTTTGGGCAGAGGGTCAGCCATGTGGGAAGGGAGGTGGGCTAGTGGTGGTGGACCTGTTTGTGTGTATGGGGGGCAGAGCTATGTCCTCATCAGACTTCCTGGGTTCCTTCCTGGCTGCACACCCTGTAGCTGAATGTTTTGTATCCCTGCGCCTCAGCTTCCTCATCTGTAAAATGGGAACATTTGCGTCACAGGGCTGTTAAGAAGAGCCAGTGAGATAAGTGTGAAAAGTGACTCTCCTGGTCTCTGGCACAGGCTCAGAACCGTTCAACATGAGCTCTATGCCGTGTCTCCCCTACAGAGTTGATGTCCAAGCCTGTGGGTGGTTGATAGGTGCGTGGGAAGGATGTGCAGCCTACCTAGTAACTGGGGTCCTGCTGTCCTCTCCTGGGGTCTCATCCAGGATTTGGGAGCTCACCCCCAAGGTGCTGGAGCCAGCATCTCTGTTCTTGCCTCCCTTCCAACCCAGGTATCTACGTGTGTGCCAAGTGTGGCTATGAGCTCTTCTCCAGCCGCTCGAAGTACGCACACTCGTCCCCATGGCCGGCCTTCACCGAGACCATCCACGCTGACAGTGTGGCCAAGCGTCCAGAGCACAATCGGCCTGGAGCCATAAAGGTGGGTGGAAGCAGCAGGGCGGCGGGGAAGGGGTGTTGGCCGGGGGGACCTGAGAACCGGCCCCCCGCTTCCTGCTGCTCTCCCTCAGCTGCAGGGGCCTACCATCTGTCTATTCCAGGCCTTTGGCCTCAGCCTGGGGAGCTGCCACCCCAAACTATTGGGAGACCCTGGGGCCTTGATGAGGACAGGGAAATTGGACTGCTTTCTGGGGAGGCTGTGGGATGGGGCTGACAGCAGTTACCTTGGGAAATGGGCGTGAGGATCCCCACTGCGGGGACCATGGCTCTAGCTGTTTTAATGGCTGTCTTGTCTCCCCAGGTATCCTGTGGCAGGTGTGGCAATGGGCTGGGCCATGAGTTCCTGAACGATGGCCCCAAGCGCGGACAGTCCCGCTTCTGAATTTTCAGCAGCTCGTTGAAGTTCATCCCTAAAGGTGCGCTTGCTTCCTGGCACCTGGGCACAGGCCTGTGTAAACTTTAGAGGCCCAAGGGTACACTGTTCTCATTCATTTATGGTGACAAAGGGTGGGGTCACCAAAGCACACCGCCCAGGTTCTGCCCAGGGCCACTGGAGGGTGGCTGCGGGGCAGGGACAAAAGACAGCTGTCCTGCCTCCCACGCTGGTTGATCACATGCAGGGCAGCACAGAGGCTGAGGACCAGGGCTGTGTGGCTGCAGGCTTGCTTGTCAGCCTGTCTGAGCCGCCTCCTCTTCTGTGCAGTGGGCGTGATGGCAGAGTCTCCTTCACAGGCCTGTTGAGACTGGCTGCCCTAGAGTGCACTGGGTTCTGGCGTGCAGTGGGAGCTAGCAAATGTGTGCGGGTGTCGGCAGCATTCATCACTGGTGGATATTTAGGGGCCATTTTTCATTTGTGTGCATTTTATCTGAGCTCCCTGGTGGTTCAGACAGGAAAGAATCCTCCTGCAATGCAGGAGACCCGGGTTTGATCCTTGGGTCAGGCCTGGAGAAGGAAATGGCAACCCACTCCAGTACTCTTGCCTGGGGAATCCTATGAACAGAAGAGCCTGGTGAGCTACAGTCCATGGGGTCGCAAAGAGTCGGACACAGCTGAGCAACTAATGCTATTGGAGCCCAGCCTCCTCTCTGGCCCTCTGCACTCTGCCTCCCCAGCCGCCCTCTGAACTTCTCTGCGCTCTTTGTAGCTCAATCCCCTCCTCATTTGCTGCCCATGGGACTGTGGCCAGCCCCTAGTCTCAGTTTTTGTTTTTTAAATATTTATTTCTTTGGCTGCTCTGGGTCCCAGTTGTGACATGCAAACTCTTACTTGTAGCATGTGGGATCCAGTTCCCCAGTCAGGGGTTGAACCCCTCCCCTGCAGGGGGAGCACAGAGTCGTCGCCTCTGGACCACCAGGGAAGTCCTTCTAGTCTCAGTTTTGTCCTCTGTAAAATGGGGTTGCTAATAGCACCTGCTTGTTCCCTCACTGTGGAGGTTAAGTGCAGGTGTCCCTAAGGTCCAGCATGTGATAAAGGTCTGAGAGTACTTTGTCCTTGTGTGGTTATTCGTCCTCTGGGACGTGTGGAGGAAGGATAGACTCTGGGTTACCCTGCAGCCTCAGCAGATGAACCGGACACACAGATGCCCCAGACTAGGGGTCTGGGTCCTCCTGGCATCGCTGAGCTGGAGGCTGGAGACACTGGGATAGCCCAGGGAGCGGTGTCAGACCTGTTAACAGCGACTTGTTTCTCTCTCCCCTCCCTCATTTCTTTCAGGCGAAGAAACCTCTGCCTCCCAGGGACAGTAGGCGGGCTACCCGTACCCAGATCAGGTGGATACCACCTGATGCCACCCACCTCAGTCGTGGAGCCACAGACATTCAGAGCAGGAGGGTCGGGGTTGGGAGAAAGGAGTAGCTGAAACCTCAGGAAGACTCCTGAGGCCTTGGCTCTGAACAGGCTCTTGCTGGGAAGAGAAGGCTCACACTCGGCTGCCAGGTCGGGCCCTGCTGTTGGCTCACACGGGGTCTCAGGGTGTGGACTCCAGGCCTGGTCTATCTTTGGATGATGCTGCAAGCCCCACCTTCTCTTCCTCTCAGCCCACTGCCCCCTTACTGCCTGTCTGGACTCACCCCATGGGGCCCAGCCCTGAGATGGCGCCGCCCTCACCAAAGCTCTTGCCCACCTTCTCCAGGCTGTGCCAGGAGATGGGATGCAGACAGGGGTGGCTCTGCCAGCTGCCCCAGCCCGGTCACTCTATGATTCTCTCTGGTTAAACCCTTGCAGGCAGCCAGAGTGGTGATGACCTGTGACCCGCTGGGGGAGCAGGCAGAGGGGATGGACTCTGACCTCAGTTACAGGAGGAGAAATCCTGAACCTGGTTGCACCATCTGTGAGGATGCGGCTTGCCTCACTCGGGCTTAGGAAAGCAGCTATTGCTTCATCATCTTGACAGTGCAAGGCTGGGGACCCCGAGCTCACAGCCACCTGTCAATCCCTCCCAGTAAACAGTGAGCGGACCTCACTGCATGTGCTCTGAGGCGCCTGCCATCGGGGGGTAGGGTGAAGCCCCTTCCACCTTGAATCCTCTCTAGAGTAATGAGGAGGAGACCAGTAAACAAATGGAACCTAGGCTTGCTGTCTTTATTAACCACATCAGGAATTACAGGAAAGCTGCTGTCATTGAACTAACTGGAAGCCTGGAATGCATGGGAGTCACTGGATCCCAGGGCAGCAGGGCCAATGGCAGCTCACAATGCCGGTCAACAGAGTCAAAGCGGCTGTCAGAATAATCTGACACACAGAATTAGAGTCGGCCAGTTGGGCAGGGTGCTTCTCAGAGCGAAGTAGATTGGAAGCCTGATCTCACTTGATCTGTATGAGCAGAGGTCTAACTTGAATCATAAAGATGATTTCCTCCTTGCCATTTCCTCCTCCAGGGGATCTTCCTGACCCAGGGCTTGAACCTGCGTCTCTTATATCTCTTGCATTAGCAGGTGGGTTCTTTATCACTAGTGCCACCTGGGAAGCCCTGTATGAGCAGAAGTCTAACTTGAATCATAAAGACAGACACTAGACTCTGCTGTCAATTCACAGGGTTGAGCCAGTTTGTGCTGAGTCACTGAGTCATGTCTCACCTTTGTGACCCTGTGGACTGTAGCCCGCCAGGCTCCTCTGCCCATAGGATTCTCCAGGCAAGAATACTGGAGTGGGTTGCCATTTTCTCCTCCAGGGGAACTTCCCGACCCAGGGATGGAGCCCACGTCTCTGTCTCCTGCATTGGCAGTCAGATTCTTTACCCACTGAGCCCACTTGGGGAGCCCTTGAGCCAGTTTGCATGCCCAGAATGAGTGAATGAATGAGTGAATCAGAGCCAGCTGAGTGGTCAGCAGGAAACTGAGCTCCAGGGCCAGGAAGGACCTTGGACTTTGCTCACCTCTCCCAGCACTCCTGGCTCTGCATTCTGGCGAGGGTGTCCCCTGAGCTTGAACTTGGCCCAAGAGCAAGTTGGCTTCCTGGGGCAAGCTGGGCCCATGTGTCCAGGCCACACCCCTGTGGCTGCCCCTTGGGCTCAGAGCTATAGTATAGTGGGCTGGAGGGCCGGGCCTGGGGACGGTGAGACTTGTAGGGGAGCTGTGAGTGGCAGTGCTTGATGCCTGCACCCCAGGGGCCCCACACTTATTTGTACAGGGTGGTAATTGGGGGCTGGCAAGCAATGTTCTGGGATGAAGGGAGTGAGGAGGGTGAGCACCAGGACCCCAAGGTCCCCTTATGCTGGGAACCTGGAAGTGGATGGCCCCTGACAGTGTTTCTACCAAAGGCTGGGTGGAATCATAAATCCACCCCACCCCCCTGTAGGATTGCATCATAACCTCTGGCCTGCAGCTGCAGTTCCTTCCTGAGAAACAAAAGGCTTTTTGAGAGCCCATCCCCCTCTGCCCCCTACCTCTGCTTGCTTCTTTGCCAGGTGGAGGCCCCGGGACACAGCCTTTTGAGCCAAGGGTTGCATGCAGGGGCAGACAGCTCCGGTTGCTCTGCCAACACCAGCCAGCAGGCCCAGGCATGGCAGGACAGGGCACCTCGGACAGGGGACCAGTGGGACTCTGCTGATCCTCAGCCTGGAGGTGTGAGTGGATGCAAAGTCGCTTCAGCCCTGTCTAACTCTTTGAGACCCCAGGAATGTAGCCCACCAGGCTCCTCTGTCCATGGGATTCTCCAGGCAAGAATACTGGAGGGGGTTGCCATGCCCTTCTCCAGGGGATCTTCCCGACCCAGGGATTGGACTTGAGTCTCATATCTCCTGCATTGGCACGTAGTTTCTTTACCACTAGCGCCACCTGGGAAGCCTGGAGACTGGGCTCAATAAACACAGCAGATGATTGAATTGATGATGCCTGGGGCTTTCCCTCATCCAGGGCTTTCATTTCTTCTGAGTGACAAGTCCAGTGCCAGGGAGAGCCGTGACCCTGGTGAGGGTGCTACTCAGGTCCTGTTGGTAGGTCTCAGGACCCCCTGACACCCTGCATGCATGTGGGCAGGGGCAGCACGTGGAAGGGGGCGCCTGCAGAGGTCAGTGAAGGTCACCACCAATCCAGCCACGTGCCCCAACCCCATCCCAGGCCCAGCTGGGGGCCTAGCGCTATGATCCCCTTCCGAGTCAACCAGTCCTCAAGGTCCCTTCTGGGAGTGGGCACAGGGACCGTGTGCATGGAGGACCGGCAGAGGCCGCTCAGGCCCCAGGAGCGCCCGAGCAGCTCTGAGCGGCGCGGCACTTCCCCGTGGCGTCGCCGGGGGCGCTGCGGCAGCAGCTTCGACGGCTGGGCGGGTCCCCGCGCCTGGCTCCCGCCCGCGCCGCGCTTCCCCGCCGCACTCAGGAATCAGCGCCCGCATCGTCCCGGCTCCAAGCCGGGCTGGCTCGAGAAGCCAGTGCCCCCCAACCTCCCCCACGGGCAGAGGCCTCCTGGCGTCCGAGGGTGCGGCGGAGGCGCATTTAATGGGCTTCAAGACAGTTACTGGTCAGAGGACTTCCCTGGGGGTCCAGTGGCTGAAACCCTGCACTTCCAATGCGGGGGACCCAGGTTAGATCCCTGGTCAGGGAACTAAATCTCATGTGCTGCAGCCAAAGAACCCGCATGCCACAGCCAAGATCAAAGAGCCCACATGCCAGCAACCAAAACTTGGTGCAGGGAGATACATAAATGGTAAAAAAGAAAAAGACAGTTTCTGGTTGAGACTTCCTTTGCAGCCCAGTAGTTGAGACTCCTTGCTTTCAGAGCAGGAGGCAGGGGTTATGCTCTGGTGTGGGGATAGCAGTGGAGGCCCAGTGTGCCTCTTTCTGGAATCAGCAGAAGCAGACAGAGCTGGGGGCTGGGAAGGAGGTGACTGATCCTTCCCAGCCCCAGCCAAGCCCAAGACCCTTCTCTAGGCCACTTGGGTGGGACCCA